ATTAGAAATGCTACAATGTTGAACTGTTTATATGTGCACTTACGGAGTTGGTAGCCAGGATCTGCCAGTTCGACTTGGAACTTTTGCAGAATGAGCGCCACAGTCATGATCATCTCTTGCTCGGCAAAAGTACGCCCAATGCAAGCTCGCATACCATCACCAAACGCTTTCCATGAATTTGGCGGCAGGTTCTCCCAGCCGCCATTCAAGAAACGTTCAGGCCGGAATACATGGGCGTCGTCGCCCCAAACCTTGGGGTCGTGGTGTAGGCCTCGCAAGTTCATCAAAATGACATCCTCTGGCTCTACTTCATACTTGCCCTACTGGTCTTTAGTATGTACAGTCTACTTGGGGAGGAGATGAAAACTTACAGCAATCTTGGTTTTTTGCAGTGCGTGCTTGCCGTTGATTCCAATAGGACCAAGGAAACGCAGCGCTTCATAAATGGCGTACTTGATGTAAACCAGCTTTGGGATGTGCTTGATGTCCAGAGGACCATCTCCAAGAACCTCGTCAACTTCTTGCTGGGCTCTGAGATATGTGTCGGGGTTCTTGAGAAGATGGAAGAACAAGAAGCCAAGAGTACCGCTCGTTGTTTCGTGGCCAGCCACCAAAAAGGTTACCATGTTGTATCGCACAAGTTCTTTGGACATCTTCTCGCCAGTCACTTTGTCTACACCTTCAAGCATGGGGTTCAGTAGATCTCTCGCATCTGGCTGCGGATGTGCTATGCGCTCCTCGATGATCTCATCGCAAAGTTTATGCATCTGCCTCACATTTTCCTGGCGGTTGGCTTCGGCAAAAACACGTAGCTTGTTCTCAATGCCAGTGCGAGTAGCTCGCCTTCCAGACTCAACGAGGACTTCGACCATTTGTTCGACAAACGGATGCGCCTTGTCAGAGTAGAAGTTGTTGAACCTGTATCCGAACGCGCATAGACCAATCATGTCGAATGTTAATCTGGTAGTAGCGGGTGAGCAACTTTCCCGAGCAAGACCAGCTGACGCAACTTACCTTGTAAAATCATCACTGCAATAGATTTCGTGTTCTGGTCCGAATCGGTCCCATCTAAGCAGCATCTGTGTCGTAATGTCCATCATGTCATCAAACATCTTACGGATGCCCATGGGGCCGAAAACAGGCATCAGCAGGCGATGGGCAACTCCCCATTCCTGATCCGTGGTCAGCTGCAAGCATCTCACAAGGCGAAAAATTAGCTCACCTTCTCGCCTGGGTAGGCTGTGAAAAGCCCATTTCCAGTGAGAGCTCGCACTTCTTCAAGAGTGGCATTGATTGGCTTCTCAAAACGGTCTCCGTCGCAGCAGTCGTTTATTGTGTCATGCGAAGAGACGACTATTATTCTTCCTGGCCGGCCTGGAATATGAAGCTGAAAGATCTCGCCATAGATATCTGAAAGTCTTTGGATGGAGCCTGGGGCATCGTCTGAATCGATGGCTCCAATATTGCCGATGAGCAAATGTGGTGGAGGCTGCGGTATTGGGACAGAGTTAGACGACTGGGACGCCATTGTTGCAGGATGTCCAACAATGGAGAAGATATGAATTGAATTACAAGAATTGTAGCCTCTTGCAGGTACAGAGGTGGTGTCTTTAAAGTTGGGGCTCAGCCTGCTTCCTATATACCACTCAGCCTGGTAGCAACAAGCGCCGTGCCTTGTCAGCCTTGCCCTCATCCATGTATGATGGTTGGCGTGCATTCGGCCGACTCGGGCGAGGCCTGGTGGATTTGTCTGCCTAGCTGCTGACTTTACAGGGATATATCAGGCCAGGAACGTTGTTCATGCGGCCAGTAGGATGCCCTGAAAAGCCAAGGTGTGGCACAGTAAGCCCTTGTGAGTTCAGCTGCACGAGGCTGTGTCATCCTCACGGTTACCTACAGCGCTGTGTCAGCGCATCGAGCATGTATGTAATGCCAGCTCCGACCAATGCGTGTTCGCATCAAGTGTTACGCTGCGTTCGGTCATGAAAACATCCTCGGCCGGTGACGACCTCGGTTTCCAGGGCGCTGGGACGGTCCGTCTGCTCTTTGCATTGGCACTCTACTACTCTGCTACTAGTGGCAAGCAGCTACTATAGTGCGTTATTTCATCTGATAGACTCCAACTGTTGCTAAACCTTACAGAAATCTGGAATACAATTGCAATGCTCTGTTTCGTATGATGGGTGTCGGGTGCATGTGCCGGCTTTGATCTGAGGTTGTTCAGCTGCTATTGACGTAATCGCAAGGCAGGTAAATCGGCTCACGTATGAATGTTCGCTTTGCCAAGGCTTGTGCTAACAGCTTTTTCTCAGCAGCACCTAGGATTAATTGCATGGAGTAATTCTGCCCCTGTTGATAGATACGAGCAAAAGCATGTGTTTGAAGCTCAGCCCCGCATGTATCGTATGAGCATGTAGGTATAATGGGGTTGGTAATTCGTCGTTGCTGTATTAAAGGCAGCAGCAGTTGCGACATACTTTTCACCATCTTCCTACCACATCTTTGACTTTGCCTATCTTTGTCACTAGTTACATGTCTCAGTAATCGCCAAAATATTCCAAGGGGACTGATCGCGTCAATGACAGTAGCAGGGCATACCGAACGGGAACAGTATCTCCTCACGGGGCCAGTGCGCAAGGCAAACGACTCATAATAGATAAATATGTTTGATTCAAAGTTCAAAACTAGAGACGCGAAAGTCCACCGACGCGCTATGCAAAATAATAAAACGAGCTCCATCTTAGTTCGCGACAGAAAAATCCCAAATCGGTGAAAATTTACCCAAGGCATCCTCTTATCAGGACTCAGCCCATCCCAAACGCCATGCTCAATGCTATGCTTCGCTGCGTAAAAACCATTGTTTCAAGAGATGTTTTTTGAGAAAAAAAAAGGTTGAACAAAAGAAACTGAGATGAACAACTTAGGCGAGACCAAAGGTTCCCTTCAGGCGCCTCCAGAGCTCCTTGCCCATGGCTCGCCTGGTGTCTTCGGTACGGAGCGCAGCCTCCTTGTTCTCGCTGGCCCTACGGAGCAAGAAGTTCAAGCACTCGGCAGTAGTGCCCCAGGTCATGCACTTGACAACCTTGGCCTGCTTGTCGGCCTTCATGGTCTCGTCTTGAACCAACGCCTGGGAGATTTCATCGGCCATACCCTGGAGTTGGGCATATGTCAAACGCGGCAGCTTCTCGGGAGAGGTGGCGAGCATCTGAGAGGCACGGATCTTCTGAGCAGCTTTGACGGAAGCCAGATTGTGAGTTGCAAGGACAATGTTCACCTGAGGGAAGGGTGTGCCGGGTGTTGGTGCAGGAACCTTGTCGGTCCATTGTTGGCGGACGACAGCGTCGGCGATGGCATCGTAGTTGGCGTCGGTTTCGGCCTTGGTATCAAAGGTGAGGTGCTTGGGCTCCGAAGTCAGGTATGCGCCGCGTACGAGCTTGACACCGGCAATGTATCCACCCTTTGAAGCCATCTCGAGATGCTGTGCCAACCGCTCGGCAATGTTGCGGAGGTAGCATTGGTACGTGATGTAGAGAACGGCATGGCCTCGCTCGGGGGTGTTGTACTTCTTCTGCAGAGCAAGTGTCCATTTCTCGAGGCCACGGTTGGTAGCTTCTTCTTCAGCGCCAGGAAGGAGACTGACGCCCTTGGCTGCGGCAGCATCGCAGGCTGCTGTGATGGCGTCCCACATCTCGGGCGTAGCGTCTTCCTGGTTTTTGAGGAGGTGTAAAGCGTGACGACCGAGACCCGACCATCTACAAGATTGTTAGCACCTACTTTGGACGAGTGTTGCTTTGGAATACGTACTTGAGTCCAACAAAGTCACCCTCCTTGGCCATCTCAACACTTTGGAGCATGCCCTTTCTCCATACCTCAATCTCCTTCTTGGTCTCGGCTGCGGTCGGCGCCTCTCCGCCAAGTACCTCGAGTGCGTACTCAAACAGAATACCGCCATAGCCCAAGGTCCTAGCAAAGTCGGTGTTCCTTACTACCTCGTCTTTGTGCTCGCCGACGCAGAACTGAGCGTAAAAGGTCTTCTTGAGCAGGTTGGAGAGGACAGGGTTGCGCTCAATGCTCATGATGTAGGATTTGGACTCGAGCATGCGACGTAGGAGGCCAAAGCATGCATTGAGGAGCAATGGCTGCGAGGACATTGCGGTGATGAGGTAGGAACGGAGAACAGCAGATGTCGGCAGACGACCAAGAACTGGCTTTGTCTGAGCAATTTGGGACTCTGGCTGGCTGGAAAGGAGGTCGGATGTGTGCGATGACGTCGGTACAGATACATTCTGGCGTGCACTCTGATGAACGTATCTGGGTGTTTGTGAGAGGGTCCTTGAGGTTTGGGAAAGAGCAAGACGCTGGAAGCGTTGGAGGTTCTGTCTCCGGAGCATCATGGCGGACATTGTGATGGGTATTGGGTGGTAGGTAGTGGATAGTGGGTGATGTGTGGTGGTCAAGTCGGGTCCGGCGGCCTGCTTGTATAGAGCACTCGGAGTCAGTGCGGTGCCAGGGCTTCTGAGTCCGGGGAAGTATGCTCGGATGAATTGCGTAGATCAACAGGTCTTGTGACCTTGGGCGATGCAGTGCATGCCATATATACCGTGCATCGTGGGCGTGTTGTTTGGACAGGGCGGAGCGCAATGCTCGGCTTGCGTCGGCTCGCGCTAGTGAAACTCGACGATGCTCCAGAGGGTACCAGACTGACGCGGGCGTATCAGCCCTGGCCCATTGGCCACCCCTAGCAGCCCCGATGATGGCGTTGCCCTGTCTAGACAGCAGCAGCTTCTGGAAATGACGATTGCGGTGGTGTTTGCAAAGTAGTGCCGATTGCGTCCGCGATGCCTGGTACTGTCCTCGTCGACGCCAGGCATTGAAAACCTGAGGCCAGAGGCAGTCGTGCCTACGTATGCCCAGTCTCGCCAGACCGACCCCTCAGCCGCACCGTCTTGCTCTTGCTTTTGCTTTGATTGTCCAGCCGTGACCATCGTGACCACTCTCGTATGCATGCCTGTTACCCCACAGTCGGCGAGATGCACTGCACGCTGCACAGGTCCTATCGCGGCCTCTCCATGGTTTGCCCAGAGCCGAGCGTAGCCATGCCGTCCTCGCTCTCCATGCGCGGTCAGCCCCCATTCTTCTTTTCTTCTGACAGCACCATATCCACCTTGGCACCGCTCTTCGTCACGCGTCCCGGTATCGGCTCTCGTGGGGGTTACGCAAAATTCTGTAATCCTCCCATGGCTGCTATGCTGAGCGCGATGAGGGCCGTAGCGGCTGCGGAAAGCGTCGGCGGGCCCACAACGGACCTCCGACAATTAAACTCCTTCCCCACCATGACCATTGGCTTGCACGCATTGAGCATTGAAACGCCTTTTCTTTTACCAAAATGTCGATGCGTTGTAATCTAGGATTGTTTCGCACGAGATCGCATTGTAGGTATGCACATATCTTGTGTCCTGTAGAGCATAAGCAGACGGCTGTTTCCAGTATCGTGTTTAGTGCTACTTGAACACTTTCGTAAACGCTTGTGCGAATATCTGGATTATTAATTATGAGATTGATCATGCCGTGGCTATGCTGTAAGTGGTGTGGTGTTCTGTGTTGTTGCGGGATATGGATGTGTTTTCTATCTAACTGGTTGTGCTGAGCTTTCGGATAGGTATCGATAACATCACGTGAGCTTTCCTGAATATCAGACCTAGGCTATACCTAACATGTAATCGAATATAGAAAACTAGTATATATCATGTTTTAGCATTTTACTAGTGCATAGAGCTATAATCAATCCTCGGCGAAGCTGTTGTCGCCTAAACCGTAGTGAAAGAATACGACTTCCTGCACAATCGAAGAGGCGTCGAACCCAATAGATTGAATTTTTCAAAGAACACTCTCTAGTTTTAATTACTCACATCCACAACCGCTAATACAAGATTCTCTATGTTGTATAGATGACTAGAAGTAACTAAAGAAACCTTAGGTGAACTTTCATCTCTTACGCACGAAATTCCACGCACGAACCGCCTCCCCGCGCAGTAGAGTACCCCGCGCAACAAGGTACCCCGCGCAGAAAGATACTCTGTGTAGTATAGTACCCCGCATTTTAAGCTACTCGGAATTGTAGAGTCAGCTGGTGTAGTGTCTCTATAAGCCAGTAGTACCTTCGTAACTATAATCAATATATCATCAAGCAAATCAAGAAACTGATCTAATTTGAACTTATTTATTATCAACCAAGTCTAACATCATGGAAACTCAAACAATTCCTAAGAAGATGCTAGCATGGCAGAAGCATCTTGGAAGCCTTAAACCAGTATGTGTATTATTTTTTGGAGATAGGTTGTCTATCGCTATCCGACGTATCAAGTGAAGCTAACATCGATCCGGATTCGCGTTGAAGTCGACGTCCCTCAACCGCCTGAGGATGGCCTACTGGTAAAAGTCCATGCAGCCGGAGGTAAGGTTCAATTTATCTGTTGTTCCGCCTGCTATATACTATTCGCAAAGAAAATTTGAAACTGAGCAGCAAACTAGTGTGCCATAGTGATATCAGTCTGTTAGAGCTGGAGCCACAACCACCCAATCATTTGAGAAAGTATACACTGGTAGGTATTTACTTATTTTCCTTGGACGAAAGTTCAGTGTCGCGTCGATAAAGCCTGAAAGAATCCCGTTGACTCATCTATTCCCAGGGCCACGAAGGTTGTGGTGAAGTCATCTCTGTTGGTTCCGCCGCCACCAAGTTCGTACCAGGTGACATAGTCGCGATCTTGTCGATACCAGGATGCGGGAAGGACACTTGCCCGGAATGTACTAGGGGTCTTGAAGCGCTCTGCCACACCGGCGAACGCTACGGAATTGGATACGATGGCTCGTTTGCCCCATATGTTGCCATTCGGGAAAGAGCCGCAGTCAAACTACCTGCTGGGCTGAGTCCCGTAATAGGGGCAGTTGTACCTGACGCTGTCTTGACTGCATACAGCGCTACTGTTGAAAGAGCCAACATTAAGAAATCAGATACTGTGTTGCTATTTGGACTTGGTGGGTTAGGCTTCAACGCGTTACAGATTGTACTCGGTATTGGGGCGAGGGTCATTGTGGTGGATAAACGACAAGAAGTGCTCGACGAGGCTGTTAAGTTTGGCGTCAAGCGCGAAGATGTAGTTCCGCCCGGAACCAGTGCCACTGAGTTTGTCACGAACAAACAACTCGTTATCGATAAGACTTTGGACTTTGTTGGTGTTTCAGATACCTTTAGAGCGGCTATTGACTCTGGTAAGTTTGTCCAAGCGCCCTTGATCTAGACACTGCGTCGTAGTGATATATCGAGGCTAACATGAACACCATAGTGAGAATAGGGGGAACTGTGGTGGTGGTCGGTCTTATAAACCCTGATATGTCATTCGATTCACGTCCCGCGATCCTAAAGGCAGTTAACGTTCTTTTCACCTTTGGAGGATCATACAAGAGTCTCGAGGCCTCTCTGGACCTCGTCGCAAAGAAGATCGTCAAACCACAGGTCGTAACTAGAAGCCTGAATGATCTCCCTCAAGCTTTAGAGGATTTGCATCATGGAAAGGTGAAAAGTAGAATGGTTCTTGTACCTGAGATCTTGGCTTAATTGTTTGTATTGATTGAGGGGGTTATAGGAGTATCAAAGAAGAAATAACAATTAGGTATCGAGCCTGAACTTAGTCTCTTGTGTTTCTTAGAGTTATCTGAACGATCATGTGCATGAATTGGCTACTTTATACACAATCACGGATGCCTACTCGATATAACGTCTTCTGTGTAGATATCATAGTTTAGTGGGGTAATCATCTTATCAAGTTAACCCACTTATGTATATCCTAGTCTACTTTATGCAATCGAATAGTAGGACAGGAGATCTCTTACACAAAGCCAACCAATTATCCTCGGCATGAAATCTCTGTGGAGTCTTCATCTGCTGCTGAGGCTTTTGGTACGCTCGAACGTTACATAACGCACGATTACAACATCACTGCTTGGATTGCACTTCTTGGTGATGGAGTAAGCCAAAGGGATGCCGATATTTCCCCATACGCATCTCCTGCTCGGGCAACAACATCAGCTGGCTTGCCACTGGCCTATATAGATGTTGATGATTTAAAAATATCTGTCAAGGAAGATGTTGCGTATGCAGCTAGGCTATTTGATGAAAACATCTCTACGGAATTACATGTATACCCCGGTGTGCCACGTGCATTTGAGGTATGTGCACCCAACATTGGGTCAATAAGGAATAGATCTCTATGTGTCCTTGTTCAAATATAGCTACGTTGAGATCTTTCACATTGATTTAGGGTGTAGCATCTCTAGCAGTTTAGTGTCCAGTCTGCTATATTTCTAGTCTGACAGCTAGTAATGCATCTTGCTGAAAACTTACCATGGCCGCCAATGTTTCAACCGCTGGGCCTGGATCTGATGGATTTCGTCACATAATTTCTATTGCGACTTTTGGCCAGGCCTCTGTACCCTATTTCATTTCATTACATGAACAAATGTAAAGAAGATTCAATTATGGAGGTTTGATGAGGGAAGGGCTAGAGCTTAACTCTTCTTGATTTAAACATTGTGGTCATTTGCTAATGTCCATACCCACATACTAGACTAGTCGCAATTCAATGTTTGCGCTCCTCCAATCTCTTCACCAAATCCTTGGTTGCGTCCATTACTTTGTGCTCGGCCTCGCCTTTGTTATGGCGCTGCCATTGCCAGAGCTCACTTACCCCGTTTGGGTATAGCGCCTTGGCTGGGATTCTGTACTTAGCCTCACCTCCCACAGTTCTGAGATAGACAACTTGTACTATATACTGTTTTGATACCTGTCCTTTTTGGCGGCCGTCCCGGCCCGTGACAGCCTTGAGAAATGAGATCCAGTAGTATGTCTCGATTTTGAGGGTTAACCTTGCCACCGTGGTGGTATTTGTTGAATGCCAACCATTCGAGTGGATACATTGCCTTTTGTAGTCCCGCAAACTGGTCCCTAACACTTGCAGCAGTGGTTGTGGCAATGGACTGTTCGCCAACCTGTCCAAATGTGCTAAGCCCAAGTATTTCTTTCATTGCCTGAATTCGCAGGGTCCAAAGCTCTCCCTGAATATCAATTTCATCGTAATTCTACCAGTCCAAGAGATCAGAGACGGCCAAAATAACGTAGATAGGGGCTACCATAGCATCTATCTGTGCAGGGGGGCAATGGCACATTTTGAAAGCCCGCTGGCGTTCCATAGCTAGGAAAACTCCCCTCTCGGCGGCGCGTTGCTGCAGAATACTTTCAAACGTTGTGAACAAGCCAATCCGCGCTGTACCATACACCATGACACGCAATAAGCCAGCTGACAAGCCGTTATAAAATTCAGCTACTCTTCGCTGAACGATGAGACCACGAATGAGCGACATTGAAGATGCTGCTGCTGCTGACTTTTCGTACTGCATGAGTTGCATGCGAACTTTCAAAGTGTCAATCAGCTGGATCACGACCGTCGCTACCATGCCTGCACCGCAACCGGAGATAAACGGGGCTAGTGCCAATAAAAGTACGTGTTCTCGCCATGCTTTCTCATAATCTTTGCTTTTTCCGGCATACGTCGGTTGCATTGTATAGCGTTTAGGGTGATGTTTACTTCAGGCCGAACGATCTCGCGATATGTCCTTGCAATAGTAGATGTTGATTTGGTTGTTGAGGATCCTGTAGACGTTAGAGACCGAAAGTAATCCTCATAAATCCTGATGGATTGGTGATACTTTTATTTTACAGAGCTGTGTAGAGTCCTAGAGCTCACTGGGAGCTATTTTGACCCATCTGGTAGTAGTATAAACTTTCTGCCGGTCGGCTCTGGCAGCACAAACGCCTCGGTAAGATCTATTTCGCCTCTTCTGCGGACACAAAAAAACCCAATTCATTACGTCGGGGCACTCTGTTTTGAAGCAACTTTTCAAACAGGTAGTTGTACATGTATATATATGTGTGTTTGTATTGAACATTTTTATCATACAAGCCCAAGTAGGTTGCCACAATATGTGGGGATAGCACAAATTCAACTAAAAAGTTCTGCCCGTAAGCTCAGGCGAATGGAGAGCTGCAAGGCGCAATATGCTCGGGTCATTGGATTCCGTAGTGGATCCCCCAAAAAAGCCTGTCTCCCCTTTGCCAGTATCCAACGCTAGGACTGGTAGACAAGCTAGTTGGCTGCGGTTGATCGAGTAGTTCTTAGTGGAGATTGATGCCGTTACCAAGGCTTCAGTCATCAGTGCGGAAAGGGAAGACTGGAGCAGCTGAGCTGGGACGAATTTCGGCGCTAGTCTAGCTAAGATTGTTTGTAGCGACTTCAGGTGCGCCGCTATCACATATGACTCCCCATCGTCCCACGAAAATGATCTGAATTTATCCAGAAGCACATGCATGGAAACTGCCTATATGTATCTTCTTAGCTGTTTTATTATACAGAAACACTCAAAGACTTACTATGTAGTGTATTGTGGGGGTAAAAGGCTGTACACTCCTAAGTTTGTGGAACACAGAGTTCAGTATCTCGACTATTTGTATAAAATGCTCTACGCAGGTTTTGTGTGAAGCCGAACCGATGCGCTCATTTCTTGGCCTACATGTAATGTCTTTTTTGCCTGGAGGAACTGTGTCTGATAGATGCCAATGGACTAAATTAGCTGCATAGTGGTAATGTAGCTGAGCTGCATAAACTCCCGTCCACCTTTTTGTCAGCTTTTCTTGAATTTTGCAGAATTCTTATTCCAAATGCTTATGCCATGTGGTCAGATCTTCCTCGATTCTGCAGATTTCGGTGAGCGTAGTACCATCGTGTTCTTCCTTTATGTTGGTTGAATCGATCGCGACATTGGCCAATGAGGCAATGCGTCGCATAGATACTCCTAAAGTGGCCTCATCTGAGATTTCGGTGAAGTTCAAGGCCCCGAGTCTATCATAAGAGGAGACAGATGGCGTACGGTGAAAATTACCTTGGCTCTCGTGAGCTAGAAACACTGATGCTTTTGTTGTACATGTCCAGTTGTCTACCCCTAGTCTTTGCATCGGTTCAGGAGTAATGAGAGCAAGATTGTTGAATGAAGTTCCTTGTATCATGCTAACATGCGGTCAATTCCCACTACAGCGACAGCCGATTTCTGAGTACTTACCGTAATGCTGCGTTTGTAAACTCGATTGCAAGGCCGCCATTGCCGAGAGCAAATCCAAGATCACTGAGAATTACCAGACCAGCTATGGCCGACTTGCGGGGGGCGTATGAAGATTCAAAAGCCAGGCGCCGTATCACCTTCGTTCGGAAATCTAGAGCAACGACTGATACCAGCATAATGAGACCCCATGGCAAGTATACAAAGTATCAAAAAGATCAAGCAGTTGCAACCTATTCGCTCGCCCAAGGCTTTTCCTGAGTGTAGTTTCCGGATTACTGGATTCAGTGGTTCGTAGGAGCTCCAGAAATGGCCCAGCAAGTACGAATAGAATGGCTTATCAATCTCTATAAGCCTTTTTTCTGACACATGAGCCTTACATATGTCCTGAATTCCATACGCCTGCGATTTGTCGAAGAAAGAATGGAGTCCTGTCGGCGTCTCAGAACTGCATAGACTTGTTTCCATCCATTCTGACGAGTTGATCATTCGTTCGAGTCGCATACGGGTTTTTAGATACTCCTTGTCTGTATCAGCAGACATGAACATGTCCAAAGTCAGGTCCAACTGTTCGGCTCGCCAGTCATGGCCGTTCCTGGCCAAGCTCTCCTCTTCGACTTCCAGTTTTTCCCCCTGATACACGGCAGGTGTATTTTATGGCGCAAGTTTCATGATCGTGGATGCTTGTGGTTTCACAAGCGGTCTTCTCCTGCTTGGCGGATTGATGCTGTGTTGCTCCAGCATATTTTGAGGCATTGTGAGGTGTTTACTGCGTAAGGAAGCCACAAGGGGCTGCGAAAAGGGGCTGAACTATATCAGGCGACGGGCTACTTTCATATTCCAAGCTCTAACTCACAAATTTTGCCTGTATAGCTCCGGAAATTCGCATCTTTGGCGATGGTTAGTACACCACGCGCAGGAACGGGCTCCGTCCTGCAAAATGCACTGCCGCTGTTGAGCTGACCTCACCAACAAAGTAACAATTAGGCATAGTACAGACTCTTTTGCGGCGTGCCCGGCATAATGTGCATGCCAAAGTAGCCCTGCGGTATGTTCTTTTGTTTTTTTGTCCGTCAATATTTGGCGCACCTGAGTTGAATCGATCTGTCGTTACATCCATTTCAGAGGGTTATTAGATCTTGTGTTTTATAGGCTTCTTGAAAATATGAATTGAATGCCATAGAACAATCATTGTTACTGGAATTATTATTGGTTAATCGCAATATGGTGATGCAGTCATCTGCTGAAAGAGCGCTTGCCTAACTAGGGAAGAAACCCTCGGTAGTTGTATAAACCTGCCTCGGTTACTGCACGTTGCACCAATCATGAAAAAGATCAATCGTCATATATAAATAATGAATCGATTGTCAAAATCAAAGACACAGTTCAGCTCTGTTGCCGTGAAAGTGCAGCCGAGGGGATGGCCACGACGTCGCATTCGCTACCACTTGCGTACTAACATACGGGTTCAAATACTAAGACCTATACCACATTTTACCTTGCGCTACTGTGCGCTGTACGCCGCCCATCTCTATGGAAAGTCCAAACATGACGGCACCCCGCAGGCTTTGGGATCACCCAAATCCACAAACCACATGGATGTGGAGATTTAAGCAAAGTCTGGAGGATGCCACCGGATTAAAATTCCCGGTACATAACATGGGAATTGTAAGCGTCTGGAGAGCATTGCTGACCATATGACAGGTGTATGAAGATTTACATAATTATTCTGTCACCGATCGATCGGACTTTTGGCGTTTCACCTTCAGTTTTCTGTCCTTGGTCTACGAAGGCCCTATTCCCTCGGTAGTCGTCACTGAGACGGCGCGTATAGATTCCATACCAGAGTGGTTTTCAGGTGTGCACTTGAATTGGGCCGAGAACGTACTATTTGCTGGCAATGAGGCTGGAAAGCCTGTGTACTCCCCTGGGAAAGAAGATGGAAAGATTGCAATTCTGGAAGTCAAGGAAGGAATGACCCAACAAGTCCGACCCGTTACATGGCAGGAATTGCGGACCCGAGTTGGAAGACTTTCGCAGGCAATGCGAGCGCGAGGGGTTCATAAAGGAGACCGAATTGCTGTCGTTGCAAACAACTCTGTAGACACATTAACGGTTTTCCTGGCCACCACAAGCATCGGTGGTATCTTTAGCTCTATTAGTACTGACGTCGGAGCACGAGGTATCCTGGAGCGTCTCTCCCAGATTCGACCCAAATATGTTTTCGTAGACGACCGAGCCTTGTACAACCGCAAGGAGATCGACCTCCGCCCTGTAATGCAACAGATATGTCAAGGACTTCGCGAATTTACAGAGTTTCAGGGTGTAGTTGCCCTAGTGCGTTTCCCCGACAGGCCGGCCGATATCGCAGCCATCGCTAAATCCTACAAACTGGCGGATTTTCTTTCTGTCGCAACTTCGGATACTCTTATCTTCGAGCGATGTCGATTCTCAGATCCTTTCCTAATTGTATATTCGTCTGGAACAACTGGAAAGCCAAAATGCATCGTCCACTGCATTGGTGGCGTTCTTCTAAATGGATGCAAGGAGAGCCGACTTCATCGAAGTATTGACCACACTTCCGTCCATCTCCAGTATACCACCACTGGATGGATAATGTATCTTGTTTCAGTATTAAGCCTTGTCCTTGGGGCTAAGATAGTCATGTATGATGGTAGCCCCTTCGTGCCCGATCCAGCCAATCTCATCCGCTTGGCAAGCAGTACTGGAGTCACACATTTAGGCATTAGCCCCCGATTCTTGCAAACATTGCGCGAGAACAACATCTCACCACGAAAAGTTGCCGATCTGAGCCGCTTACAGACTCTTTCGAGTACAGGTATGGTACTGTCCGATTCCCTGTTCGAATGGGTGTATGATGAAGCCTTTCCGAGCACAATTCATCTAGACAACTCCTCCGGAGGAACAGACTTGGCGGGCGCATTCACTGCGGGAAATCCTCTCCTACCCTTGTATGTAGGGGGATGTCAAAGCAAAGCTCTAGGTCTAGCTGTGGAGGTGTTTGAAGCTGGGCAAAATACGGATGGCAGTATACAAAAGGGAAATTCTCTCCCGATTGGACAGGCTGGTGAGCTTGTGTGTACGGCTCCTTTTCCCAGTATGCCGGTAAACTTTTGGGGTAGTGGTGGACCTCGTCGCTACTTCGAGAGCTACTTCAGCCAATTCGACAATGTATGGACACATGGCGATTTCGTAATGGTCCACCCAACCACGAAGCAGATCATCTTTCTCGGTAGAGCGGATGGTGTTCTTAACCCAAGTGGCATCCGCTTTGGTAGTGCAGAGATATACGGAGTCATCGAGGCCAGTTTTGCTGATCAAATTGCCGACTGCGTTTGCGTTGGACAAAAGCGCGTTCAGGACACGGACGAAAAGGTTATTTTATTCTTGCTACTGAGACCTGGACATATCTTTACCAATAAGCTGGTGGATGAGATCAAGAGCGCGATCCGCAGACAATTGAGTCCACGGCATGTCCCACAGTTTGTATTTGAAACACCAGAGATACCAGTAAGTGCATTGGATAGAGCAAAATTTCAAAGCGAGCTTACCCGTCCCATAGGTGACATTCAACGGAAAAAAGGTCGAACTCCCAGTGAAGCAGATCGTTTCTGGAAACTCCATTACACCATCTCGCGCCATTGCAAATCCCAAGTGTCTTGATTACTATTATCAATTCTCCAAGGATGACGTATTACACGCTGCATCTCAACCTTCAGCCAAATTGTAGTGAGATGCGCTCAAAATTTCAGCGGAAACGAGCATACCGATACCGAAGCACGGTATTGTATATGAAAAATAAAATGTGTTCTTCTACCCTTTCCTTGGTAACGATTACCGAAATTCTAGATAATCTGAACTCATAAGAACACATTATGAACCAAGCTCAAGAACTTGGCTATGATAATGTCGAATTATGGAATAATATCTATTGGCTTTATTTCTCAGTCCATGGTTAAGTAATTCCCATAATGGTGATGTTGTATCATCTACTTCATCAACTCATCGTGGATGGTAAACCTAGATGGGGCCAAGTCAAGGAGCTTAATTACATCGACCTTGATCCCTTCTTTCTATACCTTCCATTCCGCGGTATACAGTATCATGGCCACGATAAAATGTCGTAGGATGAAAATAAGATATCGAATAGACTTTTGGTTCGCAATCGGTGCGTATTGAAGGTACTGATAGGTGGCAACTGGCAACAATATTTTTGGGGGTAAGAGCTGATTGAATTTTTCCATCTACGATAGCTATTTGGTAAATAGATATATGGCCTGAAAGATATGACGTCCAGCATTCTACACCACAGTATACATCATATGACACGACACAAGATATGACTTGAAGAGATCAGCGAACCGACCAAGGACATGTTTGAGTCATCAATTAGGACGATTGAACTCCATTTCAATCGCGTTTTGTTCCTCAGAACCAGTGGAACACATAACTTGCTAACATACAACCCTCTATCACAACTTTTCTGTACCCAGTCCTGAGGGACTGGCATTCTCGAGCGGTATTTTGGATCAGCCAATCCTCATCTTTTAGCCGCTTCAGATCACCTTTTACACGATCAACATGACTAAAGTCAGACTGTGTAGCACATCATGTGGTAATTGTTGGAGCTATGAAAATGGAAGACCAATATCCTACAAGAAAACTCAGCTGACTACAATTATCAAAGACGTTGAATAGCGCAGGCACTATTTATCCGATCAAAGTTATCGTTCAGCCAAGCCAATAGAATCACATCCCTTTGTGACATTGTCACACACCATATTGAAAGTTAGTCTCAACTTCGGAACTTCCGGGAAGCGAATGGCGTGCCAGCTACGACCTTTGTATAACTCAGCTTATTTTCCCCGTATTTAGTTACAATTTATAGTTCATCTGCATGGAAACAAATCAGTCCCGCTGCAGTTGCCGAGGCTACTCGGTGTTTGTAGTACGCAGCTTTGGTTCCTCGGCAGTTCTTGCAATGCTAACTATAACGTCATGCTTTACAGCATTTAAACCAACATGGGAACCCTTATAGTATTCTCATCATACAAACGGAAAGGAAATGAGCTATAGTCTTTGTTCAATCGCAATAAGCGGTACAATCGTAGATGACGAGCCTCCGTTACGATGAGCTACCAGAATCTGCGGTTATCAGTGGGTCGCGACTTGACGCTATCAATGGGTGGAATTAGGATTGGATACCATAACCTAAAGAGACCGGAGATAAGGCGTTTACCGACAAACCACCATCGTTTGCGGAGTAACATTGCCCGCGACCGTCATGTTCGGATCATGGAGGTTGGACCACGGGATGGCCTCCAGAACATCAAACAGTTGGTACCCCAGGAAGTCAAGACCGAGTTGATCCAGAGTCTCGCAGAAACTGGGTTGCAGGAAATCGAGGCAACATCGTTCGTTTCGCCAAAATGAGTGCCTCAGCTCGCAGATGGACGGGCCGTACTTCAAGACGCGCTACAATTTGCGAAGTCGAGAAAGTTGTCGGAACCCTACCTCCGTTTCCCAGTTCTCGCGCCAAACATGAAAGGCTTGGAAAATGAAGGACTGCCGGCGCCGATGAGATTGTGGTTTTTGCATCCGTCACCAAAGCCTTCAGCAGAGCAAATCAAAATTGTACAGTAGACGAGGCTATCTCTCAGGCCAGAGTTGTAATCAAGGAAGCACTTGCCTCTGGTATCAAAGTCAGAAGGTAAGCACATACACATACTCCTTAAACCCTTATTGAAGAACGGAGATGGATCATGCATTTAGCAATGACAATATGACAGCGCAATTTCCTGTGTTTTCTCGGACCCATTCTCGGGGCCTACGGCCCGTAAAGATGTCCTGGAAGTAGTGCAACAATTTCTTGAAATGGGATGCTACGAAGTCGGACTGGGAGATATGCTTGGTGTTGGAACACCTAAGGACACGCAAAGTTTGCTTGAAGTCCTTCTCCAGGAGGTTCCTGCACATAGACTTGCTGGGCATTTTCATGACACATATGGACAGGCTGTAGCGAATTCGTACAAATCCTATGAGATGGGCATTCGGACCTTTGACAGCAGTGTTGCTGGCTTGGGTAGTTGTCCCTGCGCTCCTGGAGCTCGAGGCAACGTTGTTACGGAGGACCTTATTTACACCTTCGAAAAAGCCGGTGTGAAGGCTGGAGTGGATCTTGAAAAATTGGTCGATGTTGGGCAGTGGATTTCCAAACGCCTCGGCATTCCGTATGGAAGCAGAGCTGGTGCAGCAATCGCTCCTAAGAGGACGCAGACTCAACGCTCTCCGCCACGAAAACATTCTCCTACAGAGTCGAGCGTGCCAAGATCGTGGCAGGTGGTGGAGGATACAAGAGAGTACAGGATTCCTCGTGCAGGAACAGCGATGAAGATCACCCTAACTCGCCCCAAAAATGGCAACGCGATGACAAGCACCATGCTCACAAGCCTAAAGAAATTCCTCAAGAACTTGCACAAAGATCCGACAGTATACCATGTTGCACTTGAGTCGGAGGGTAAGTATTTTTGCACAGGTATGGATCTGAGTGGAGGCACCAACACAACAGATATGACAGGGGAATCAAATTACTACGGACAAGTGGCTGCTTTCTTTGAGGCTATTGATCATGTACCACAAACCACCATCGCATTAGTTGACGGCCCGTGTTTTGGAGGTGGTGTTGGCTTAACTTTCGCATGTGATGTGCGCATCGTTTCCCCGAAAGTCAGGTGGACGTTGAGTGAAGTAAAAATTGGGGTCAGTCCAGCTGTTATCTCCAAGTTCATCGTACGTATATGGGGAGCCTGAGTGGCGCGGGAAGGAATGCTGTCGGGTAGGGAAATCAAGCCGGAGGAGCTCTGGCGCGTAGGCGCAATCCATACTGTCACCGCAGAAAACGAGACTTTGGACGACGCACTCAATAAGTATCTGAACCAGCTTGCAAAGTGTGCCCCGGTCAGCAGCGGTCAACAAAAAGCTGACAAGATATGCGTGGGTCGCACCGGAGACTGAGTCGCACACTTCCCTCGTCAAAAAAGCATTCCATTGTATGGTGGCTGATGGTGGAGAAGGACAACACGGAATGGAGCAATTTCGTCTCAAGAATAAGGATATAGACTGGCAGAAGTTCTGGAATGGGTCAAGCCCATTCAAATATCCAATATACGGCAATCCAGGCGATGGTTCAAGGTAGATATCTCTTGACCAATCTCAAGGACATGAGTCTGAGAATGGAAGGGGTTTGATTCTCTTTCTGATTACTTCATCATAGTTTTCAAGCTTTAAATCAGACTTGTGTTTGTAAGACTGCTTCTACTAGTATGTTCAGTTACGAAAAAATGAAAAAGCATAGCCCTTCTCTACACGACTGCAGCCTTTCTAAGTTTTTCTATCTCGTCAGTTTCTAAACCGAGCTTATCAAGTATCTCAATGGTATGCTCTCCAAGTACTGGAGGTGGAGTTCTCAAACTGGCGGCCGTCTGGCTGAACTTCACTGCTGGCCCAATAACCTTAATGCGACCAGTTTTCACGGCCTCTGTTTCCATCTCAGCAATCATGTCTCGTGCCGCAGCTTGAGGATGCACAAACGTACTCTCCATGTTGTTGATTGGAGCAGAAGGCAGTGATTTATCCTGGAAAAGCTTCGTCCATTCACTCGTCGTCTTCGTCTGAAAGGCGGTATTGAACATTGGCGTGAGCAGTTGGCGATTTTCGACTCGCTTTGGGTTTGTCGCAAAACGCTCGTCCTTGATAAGCGCTTCAAGGTCCAAAAGATGGCATAGGCTAACGAATTGCGCGTCGTTTGTTGCGCCACACCCCAGGTATTGGTCTTTGGTTTTGAAGGCATCGTAAGGAACAATACTGGGATGAGCGCAGCCCCATCGTTGTGCTTCGATGCCAAGATTCAACCAGGCAAGGCCGACATTGGTGAGCAAGCTAATTTGCGTCTCAAACAGGGACGCATCGACTCTCTGGCCTTCGCCTCTCTTTTCACGAGCATGCAATGCGGCGAGAATAGCGCCATGCAAATACTAAAGTCCGGTGGACATGTCAACCATGCCAATTCCAGGTCGTACTGGCGGTCCGTTGTGCTCGCCCGTAACGTGCAGAAGACCAGCTTCTGCGCCAGCTATATGATCGTATCCTCCTCTATGTGCAAATGGACCAGAATTTCCATATCCTAACGTCTCGTGTCAGGTCTCACAGATGTTGCTTTAGTCCTGAAGATGACATGTGAGAAGAAATATTCACCTGAAATGCTTGCATATATGAGTCGAGGGTTCACAGCTTTCAATTTGTCATACACAAGACCTAAACACTCCATAGTTCCCGGTTTGAAGTTTTCCACACTATATGGGTCCTTAATTAGTCGAACGCCATACGATATCCCAAGCAGTTATCATATGTCGCTGCCATGGATCAGAGTCACTCACAGTACATCTGTTTGTTTTGCGAGCTCGAAAAGAATTTTCTTCCCTTTCTGATTCTTAAGATTGAGAGTCATTGACTTTTTATTGCGATTTACCGATGTAAAGTAGTTCGACATGGTTTGAGCAGCCGATTGCCACGTTGGCCCTTCGCCCTTCACGGTCCAATGCCTGGTGTCATCCTACCCAATTCGGTCATTCTTTGCAAGGCTGAAATCGAAATTCACGCATGTATTAGATAATAATCTTACCCCTTTACCAATTGTTTCGACCTTAATCACCTCCGCGCCGTAGTCTGCTAGGATTTGCGTACAAAACGGGGCCTGATGACAACAATTAGCTTAATGCGACGGCCTCACTAGCCATTATTAAAACGCACCGCAAGTACTCTTGAGAGATTCAGAACCTTCAGACCTTGAAGTGCACCAGCGTTGTCTGTAGTATTTGGATACCGAGTGGAAGCTGTGCGAGCAAAACACCGATGTTTGGAACTACCGCTGGTCCATTCTGCCAATACTTTAGTTAATCCAGTTACTTTCCTCTTGGAGTTGTATATCGTGGGCAACATTGTAAAGGGAAGATACTTGGGCTAAACTGCATGAAAATCGCGTTGTGGTTCACCAAAATATGATTTTGGAGGGCCATACTTGCATTCGGACCTCGGAAACGATCAAACCTAAGGGCTGTGGTATGATGAGATCATGAGAATAGTATATTGAATTACCTCGGTATATGTCAAGATGTGGAAAACCGTGTGCGCTTGTGAGGAATCGTACCGACCGATCACAGATGTTCTCTACCAACCCCGCACATGGGACTTCAATTGTACGTTCGAGGGCAGTAAAAAGACACGAACAACTCGATCTAATCTTATATTCCCATTTGCTTTGTTATATCAAAGAATTCTAACGAGCATCTGGTGCAAATGCTTTGCTACAAGGACTTTATCCGTCCATACTTGACAATATTACTAATGATCCATTGCTAGTCTCCTCTGAATCCAAGAAAAGCGGTCCTCCGCCAGAAACAATCAATAACTTCTAGGTAGCCCCAATACTCGCTGACTGATATAATTCCTAATCATTTCACCACTGATCGGAGCGATCCTCGATGATGTGGCTTCCCTCAGATAACGTTCGACGTGATACTCCTTTGCGTAGCCCATGCCGCCGTGAGACAATACTGCTCGTTCAGCAGCTTTGAAAGCAGCCTCTGAAGCTAAGAATTTTCCAGAATTAGCTTGTTCGCCACTTTCGTAGCCTTGGTCGTGCAAGCGTCCTGCAAGATAGAGCATTAGTCTTGCAGCTTCCAGATTCATCCAGCATTCTGCGAGTGGGTGTTGAATTCCCTGGTATTTACCAATGGGATTACCAAAAACCACACGATCTTTTGCATAGTTTGACGCCCGACGAATAGCAGCGAATCCAATGCCTAATACCTCCGCGCCTACTAGCACCCGCTCGGCACTCAGTCCATGCATTATCATCTTGAAACCATCGCCTTCCTGTCCAATTAGATCCTCGGCTGGAACTTCCCAGTCTTCGAAGAAAAGAGTATTGCTATCGACCGCATTGCGCCCCATTTTTGGAATCTTCGTAACTTCTACTGCATTCCGATCGAGATCAGTGTAGAACAGGGAGAGACCTTGGCTAGGTTTTGAACATTCTTCAAGTGGTGTTCTGCGTACGAGTATCAAAATCTTTTCCGCAACTTGAGCTGTAGAAATCCAGATTTTTGAGCCTTTCAAGATGTAATGATCGTCGTTCTTCTTTGCGGTAGACTGCAGCTGTAAATTATTCAGTCCTGTATTAGGCTCTGTGACACGAAAGCACGCTCGCTCTTTGCCTTGAATGAGTGGTACTAGCCATCGTTTTTTCTGCTCTACCGTGCCGAACTTCGCGACTGGCTCCAGTCCAAAAATGTTCATATGGACAGACGAGGCGCCATTCAGCTATAGTCTGCAGCATGATGGCCGCTTCCGAGATGCCAAGGCCTGATCCTCCATACTCTTCTGGAAGACAAATGCCAAGCCAGCCGTCTGATGCTAGATCGTTGTAGATTTCCCACGGGAACAGCTGGTTGTTATCTCTTTCCATCCAGTACTCATCAGGGTACTTTGAACATATCTTAGCGATGGCCGATCGGACTTCTTATTGCGCAGTCGTCCATTCGGGCAGTCCTGTCGGCAGATATTCAGCACCTTGCGCGTGAATCTGCCATTTGGTGGATGTTTGCAGATGGTGCCATGGTCTGGCAAAAGCTGCGATTCGTACTGATCGAGTAATCAACCCGCAAGACGACGTTGTAGCCGCACGAAGAAGCCGTTAATGCATATTGAAGGCGAGTTCACGGCAAATAAGATACGTGTGAAAACCTGATGGCTATGTTTTGACCGAACAACTTTGGCGATCGTCGAGCAGGATGTACTCCCTTGATAATGTAAAGAATTATTCACGAAACAGGTACCACGATCATAGAGCGGGTTTAACTGATTATTCGTAGAGTTATTGAGACCGTTGCAGCTCTTACATACTTTGCAGTAAGGTGACTATTGAAAATGCCTTGAAATGTTCTGCGCCACTCATGAGTGCCGGCTTCAAGTCAATGAAGTCCAAAAGATCGGACAAAAGATCTGAACTGGATAGCAACGAGCTCACGTGGCCAATGCAGAAGATATAGAGTAAATATAGAATTTGGGGGAAGCTTAGGACTCACGCTGGTTAGCTCAATTTTGTGAAGACAAAGCAAGCGGAACGTTGAGTCGGTTTCTTGAGCTGGACGGCTTACTTACCTTACGCCCTGCCTCAAGCTCGGTTGCTGAGCCTGATCCCATCCGCTCCGTGCCTACGCTGCACAACAAACAAGGTTCAGAGAAGCATTATTGAAAACTGCAAACCGATTAACCCTATGCAGAGTTTCATAGTTTTAGTCTCTCGTGTCGCGAGATCCCTGAAGCACACGATAGTGCCTGAATGTACGTAAAGTTCATTACCACCGTCAAGCAACGCCGGAAAGTGCAAAGCGCGCCTAACAGATTGCTCTAATTCCCTGTAAAGAACAAAGTTTAGAATTCTTATGGCAATCTCAACGTAGCGTACCGATTTCCATTGGTTTCACAAGCAGTAGTGCCCATACACTCCCTTCGTGCACCACTATGGTCCCGCCCTGCTCCGCCCACGCCGATTACTACATGAACAACAAACTCTTATCACCACCTGTCGCTATCACCGCCACCATGAGACTCTCGCACGCCACAGTTGCTGTCATGACCTCTTCCTAGCCATGGCCTTGTATCCTGTCTCCGATACTCAAGCCGCTTCTCCCAAGGCCTCCTTCGACTAAGCTACTCTGTAAAATAAACACCTAGACCACACTGAGTCCAGATGTTTTCGGTATCACCTCTGAACGTTGCCTGATCGAACTGAAACATACAAAGTGAATTCTGATCCAATTTTACCGTCCAAAAAACGCCGCAGCTAACACGAGAAGTCACACTGCAGTCTTGAGAAATCAAAAGATACGCGTTACGTAAAAGAGAAGAAAAGGAAAAATAAGAAATGTTGATTAACTCAAACTTCACAACGCTCAACCTGCGAGACTTTGGACTCCCTTTTCAACCGGGAGCGAAATGCATTCCAAAATTCCTTCCCCCGGGCAAACTTACTACGAACAATGTTCTTTAATTTTCTAAGAGATTGTATACTCTTGCGCTTTGTCCTTACTATCAGGGCGTCTTCGTCGAAGATCTGATGCCACTGGGCTTTCAAGACCGTCTCTCTGATCGAGAGGTGCCTCTTGAATTCTATGCCGTGGTCATAGCGGAAGGACTCGAGATCCGGGGTGCGCAAGGCCAGCGGCATGTATTTGTAGCCTGAAGGGCCGGCTGACAGAGGTGTGTTGTCATCGGGTTGGAGCTGGAGCGGGGTGGGAATGTGTGGGCGTTTAAGATGGGGTTCATCGGGTACATCAACTTCGGATTGGTAGTTGAAGTAGTCATGGTGACTAGTGAATGATTGCGATAACACTTGATCTTCTGCCTCGGTGCTGCTAATTGGTGCAACGCAGGTTCCATACGCACTATGTCCATGTGGAATACGAGCAACGATCGGAAACGTGTTTCTGCGGGCCTGGCCCACCTTTGGTTTCAGTCGTGGCATGCTTCCAAAAACAACGCGCGCCAGATTCAAATGTTTCTTGCATCAGAAAGATGCGTCAGAGGGAGATATTTGAAGTTTATAGTTGGTAGGGTTGAAGGCTGGCTCGGAACCTCTGTTACAGCACATGGTTATCAAGGAAAGTTCTAGGACATTGTTTTTTTCACAAGGTACTATTCAGTTTATTTAGGTATCCAAAGGTGATTCCAGATTGCATGAGAATTACTCAGGCATCATGCCTGCGCAAGAGATTAGCTGCCACGCTTTCACTCGATGCGTCCAATCGTTCCGACGTATACCCACTCGCCATCTTCTTGTATTTGCCACGGACTTGCAAATGTCTGAATCTTCTCGCCGGACTCTGATCCCATATCGAGATACCATTGTCCGGCGATTGCATCCCACCTCCAGTCTTCCCAAGCACCCAGCCTTTCTGCAGCGTCATTTGGCATCAAGTTTGTTCCAGCCATGCTTACATGTTCCCAGACGCCTCTTGCTTCGTTCAGTTTCCATTGGGACAGGTAGATATACGCGTTTTGAGTAGGTAGGAATGTGTAAAACTCGTGCCATGCGGGATCCCAAGTCCAGGAGTAGGCTGACAACGTTTGTTGGGGGGTGCGCTGGTTGGCGGAAGCCGTGGAACCGATCATGTTGCGAAGAATGCGAATTGTACTCGAAAGGTCTTCAAAATCGAGAGCGGTTGGCAATGGCGCATCCCAGGATGTTGGTGGTGGATGCCATTTACCTATCGCACGAAGCTGTCTTTCTAATCTTAGAGTCTCTTCGAAAAGGCTCTCCAAATGGGTTTTGGTCTCCTCATCAGCAGCTGAAAGGCTACCGACTATTGCCAATTCACCACTCAGTGCTAGGTCATGTGGTATACTCTGGAAGACATTTTGACGCTTGCTTTCTACATCCTTGATGAATTTTCGTACGATAGTCTGAAGGATAAGGACCGCCTCTGTCAGCTCTGGCCCATGAGTTTTGTCGCTTGTCGACGTCATCAGGCTCTATGTGATGTTTTATGACGGAAACTACCACAGCGTTCTTATTAGATGCCAGCGGTAACTCAGTGCAGGATACGTGCTATTGGAGTAGTATTGGGCGATTTGTTGCACACAACAGTGTTTACAACGCTTGGTGCATGCAGCCGACTTTCAGCCATTGTTGCCACCATCTGGACTCACCTCCCGATATAGACGTTTCGAGTATGGACCTTCGAACTTAAAATAACTCAAAAACCCTTGGCTTCAGTCGTTCCTTGAAGAGTGTTTCACATGAGCAGTATTGGTTTACAAAGAATTAATGTTCAGCGCGTCTCAGATGTTACACAGATCTTCGGACGAATGATTGCGTCATAACCTTATCGCCGCAGCACGTGGCACCCCACCAATCACTTACTACATATAAAACGTATAGCATAAAGCATGGGTACTATAGCATGTACACAGCGTGCAATGCGGGGACTCTTCGGCCGGCTCAAGTCATGGGACCACGACATCCAACAGGACGACCAAAGTTTTTCCTGCTCCTCTCAATACAATCTAGTAACGTTTCAGGCGTAGTATTGTGTTGTACGTACCCTCCGAAGGATCATACCACGCACCTAATCCAGCATCTGTAAACGCCTTACTTGGCAATGAACAGCGTAAATCAGCACTACTGTATATACTAAGCGAATTAGGGTAGATTTTACGTGGAGTTGGATGCCGCTCTCCCGTTACCGAGATGTAGCGCTTACATTTCAAGGCACCAATAATTGCACCTTGTAGGGTAGATACGCAGGTCCGCTGGGTAAAAGGCACTCAAGTTCCTCTTCCCCAGCAACTTTTAGCTTTCATCCCGCCTCTTGAACCTGGTCCTGGAACAAGCGTACTAACATACGTTAATTTGTCACGTGATTTCTTGGTATCATACCAGCTCGCCATGAATGCATACACTTTCCCACCACTAAACAGTACATCTTCTTCTATATCATGGAATACATGCCTACCACAGTTTGGCTTGCCCCCAAGCCTAGAATGCGCAACATTCTCGGTTCCCATTGATTGGGACACGCCCTATGGCGAACACTTTGATCTTGGGCTCGTCAGGCTACCCGCAGCGCCTTCAAATACAACATCCAAGATTGGTTCCGTATTCATCAACCCAGGAGGCCCCGGTTCACCAGCATCATCGCTAGTATCATTAATAGCGATAAGCGCATTCCCAGGCCAGACCCCCCAACTTCGGCCTGCATTTGATATCATCGGGTTGGATCCACGCGGTACTGGTATGAGCCATCAGATAAAGTGCGACCCAGCAATTTACGCAGAAGTTGTATCACTATTTCCTCAGACAGAAGAGGAGTATGCTGCACTTGCCAACAAAAACAAGAGGTTGGGAGAATCATGCCGTGAGTTGACGGGACCACTGCTTGAACACGTCGATACCATCAGCGCAGCAAAAGACCATGAAGCTGTTCGCATAGCACTGGGCAACGAGCCGATAAATTTTGTTGGATTGTCCTATGGATCTCAACTGGCTGCACAGTACATCAGTTTGTTTCCCGACAACGTCCGCACTCTTGTCCTTGATGCCATATCACAGCACTCGCAATCTGAAGCGGCAGATGTCTTCATCGGCGCGTCGTCTTACGAGCTTGTCCTACAACACTTCTTCGCGTGGGCAGCTACTGGTGAAAACTCGCCGCTTCGCGGGCAGGACGTGAAAGCACTGTGGCTAGATCTACTTGCCAACGCAAAGGAAACACCGATACCCGCACCATCCTGCGACGACATCACTTGCCGAGCAGCTGTAAGCGACGAGGACATTCTCTTCAATGCGCAAGGCCACCTGAACTTCCCTGGGGCAGGAATAGGCCTGGGTGCGTCCTGGGAGCTTCTCGCGTCGGCACTGTTCAATGCTTCGCGCGGCGATGCAACTGCCCTGTCAACATCATCTGCAAGCCCCGAGGTCTTTTCCCGGCTCGCGATTCAATGCCTGGACTGGGATCGCTCGGATTCGCTTGCAGAAGTCAAGGCCAAGATGGAAATGGCTAATGCGTATTTTGATCTTAACCGCGGCGCAAATCACAGATGGGCTGCGCAACACGCGTGTATCGGATGGCCTGTTCCAGTGAAGAATCCACCTCAGAAATTAGATGTCAAGTCGAATACCACTGTGCTCATGGTGACGAGCACGGGAGACGCTTCTACAGGAATTCCATGGGCGGTGGGTATGTTGGAGGAGATTAAAAACTCAGTGTTGGTAGTCCGCCAGGGTGACGGGCACGGAAGCTTACCACTGGGCGGAGAAGCGGGCGACATAATCGTCGAGTACCTGATCACGGGCAAAGCTCCGGCACAAAGATTCTTGACGACGAAATCATGAAGGCAGCAAAGTAGATGGAATGGATACACATTAACGCTATGAACAAGTCAATCTAGTTCATCGTTCATGACGACCATTGAGAACCTTGCAGACAACATCTGACAGAACAAGACGTGAGAAAAAGGGCGTCCGTAAACGTAGCCCAAAGTGTGATTGAAAAGAGGGGTAAAAAGAATTGTAAGTCAGGGTATATACAGCTGCTCTGCCCTGGTATGTTCCCAAAAGGAGTCCTTCACTTGCACGTTTACAACAGAAGAGCGGCGACGGCACCGAGACCAGCAAGAGCGCTGCCGACCTTGATGCTGGAAGCAGCACCAGTGAACTCAGGGATGGGAGCGCCAGTGCCGGTAGGAGCAGCGGTACCAGAGACGGCAGGAGGAGCACCGCTGATGACGGTGGAAGCCTCGGGAACCAGGGGAGTGCTGGTGGGGTAGACAGCAACAGTGGTTGGGTAGTAGGCAGAGCCACTGAAGGGAGCAACAGGAGTGTGGCCCAGGGTCCTGGAAGGTGATTAGCAAGTGTTTTGGAAGTGCTGTTGGTATGATATGAGCCTTACTTGGTGACAGTGACGGTGACCGGGGCGGCGCAAGTCTCGCTAGCAGCCGGGTACTGAGCAGCAACAGCTGCGACGAGAGAAGCGGCGATGATGGTGAAACGCATTTGGCTTATTGTTCTTTTTCTTGGTTGTAGAAGAAATGGGTATAGAACGAAAAAGAGTAGTTGAACGTGAGAGAGATGCGTTGCTGTAAAGAACGTGGGTAGTTGTTTCAAAAGAGTGACTAACAGTAGTGAATACTATTGATTATGTGGATGTTTGGATGGTAAGAAGAAGCAAAGGTATTTATAGGCGAGGCGTAGAGGCGCTCTTATACATGCCGCATATTAACAGTAGATGAAGGAGACCAGTGGATTGATGTATATGGGGCGCACCAGCCTTGCTTGGGATCGACTATGCCGGTTCATTTCCTCCGTGTCGGGGTATGGATTGGATAGAGTCTCATTGCACGAGCCACGGAGCGCAGGGTCAAAGGGTCGAAAGCTGGGGTGATAACGGAGATTAGGACGACGATCCATGAGCGACAGCAGCAATGGTTGGATGGTGTATTTTCTCAGCGGTGGGACTATGGTGGAGTGAAATGCGCATTGCTCCATCTATGCTTGTAGTCATGCGTGCTTTGGGGCGTTCTTCTTGCCATCAGTTTCGAAGTTACACAATGCCATGTGCAGTGCATAGGTAGTATTGGCCCTTGTTAAACACGAGCAGTGTTTCAAAACATGGTGCAATCATAACCAGCAACCAAGACAGCCGCTTGTGGATAGATTAACCTCTCATCTTGATAGGAGCGGCACGAGATTATCACGCGCTTCTTGGCCGCCATCTGAGACGTTGGTGGGGCCCTGGCGCTAGCCGGATTCGCTCTAACGCATTCTGGAGAGATATGAAGGTACCGTTCGATTGCGTACACTGTCACAGTATAAGACAACACCCAAGCAGCCGACTGCCGACGTCATGTCCGGCAATGAGCGGTAGTGCAGCAAACTCCCGTGAGATAGTCAGGAGTTTGCCGGAGAGGCAGCAGGTCAAAGATTTTGCGCAACGTAGAAAAAAATTTGTATTTGCTAAACTTGGCATGGTTATAGTCCTGGGGTATTGCTCTACTAATAGCATCCTCAGCCATGTCGCCGTTGCGCCGACCCACTTCATGCGAGTGTCTAAGTACACCTGCAACGCCAAAGGTCGCCCTGAATCCCACAGCCGACTATAGAGACACTCCGCCTCACTTCACTCTTCCCATAATCGGGTCAGGAGGTGCATCTTCCGCAATAGGCTCTGCAGCCTTTGCTTTGACTGCATTCAACATGCCCCTATCGAAATCATCTCTGGTCCTCAACACAGCTTCGACCCAACTAATACTGACATCCCGGTAGGCAGACTTGAACTGCACATAAACAAACTGAACCTGGGACTTGTCGCATTCAAGCAAGTTGAGAAATTCTTGCACAGCACGCCATCGCTGCATGATGTCTGCGCCCTGCTCTCCGTACGACCTGAAAAACTCAAACGCAGTGAGGAGATCGTCTTTCATCTTGGCTCCGAATTGGTCCGTTCTCTTGAACTTTGCACCCTTGTTGCGTACGGCTCCCAGATACTGTACGAGCAGCTCATCGGCAAGGGAATCGATAATCAGGTCACGCAGCGAGCGGTGAAGCTGTCCCTCGAATTCAGCAAGATAGTCTCTGAAGGTCAAGATGATGGATGCCATGTCTGTTCTCGAATACCACTCCGGCGTAAAGAATTTGGTAAAGATGGGCTTGAAGTCCGTCAGGAAGATTAGCTCGCAAAAGGTTTGTATACAGTGCGACGAAATGTCAATGTACCCGTTCTTGACTTCGTCAATATTCTTGGACAACTTGTCAATCATGTAATCTTGCGAAACAATGGGCGTTACTTCGCGCTCAAAGACGCTCAAGAATGAAGCACGGCCACTGCCGTCTAGGTCGTCATCAATGCATATAATTTGGTCGTTTGCGAGTGCAACGAGCCATTCTTGGAAGACGGGCACTCCATCCCCATCAAGCGTAGGATTGGCACCGACATATTTGGCCTTCTCTTCGTCTATGAGCTGAGTCCATATGCGCTGGCGTGAAATCAAAGCGCGGAACATGGCGTCTACCACACCGTCGGCCACGTCAGGACGCTGACTGCTCGCTGCGACGCCAATGTTTTGGCTGAACAGCGTCCAAACATCTCCCAGCGATCTCGTCTGGTAAATGCCATCGGGATTGATCTCATATGCAGATCTGTCCTGATCCAGGAAGCTTTTCCTATCTTGGCTGTTGATGCGCTCCATATATTGGTCCACTGCCTGGATGATGACTGAGCGATATGTGCGAATCAGTTCGGCACTACGGTTATCAATAACGTGCGGTTGCAGCTGCTCTTCCGAGAAACCGAGCTTCTGCATTTTGGTGTAGTACTTGTCCACCCAGTTGATAACACCAAGCAGGTACTGTGGTCCCAAGGCCTCGTCATCAGCGAAACTCATCAGGAAGTCGTGCATCTGGGTGTGGTAAATGTTGGTATATGTCTCAAAAATCTTCCACTTCTTGGGCATCAGGTTAACCATGCCTAGCTTCACGGTGTTGAGGTTGTTGAAGTACCACTTGAAGTACTTTTCAATCTTCTCGGGGTCCTCCATGAACTTTTGTCTCACTTCGTCCATTTGTGCCTTGCAAACATATTCAATCGACGTGATGAACTTCTCTTTGTATCCACGGAGCTCCTTGGGACCTTGAGCAATGGATTTGAAGCGCGAGGCAAGGTCTCCAAATTCTCTCTGAGCATCCTGCAAAGCCTTGATCTTCTTGTCCGTCTTCTCCTCCTCCTCAACGACGACAGCCAGGCGCACTACCATGCCATCGTTGCCAGCCTGGACCAGCTCAATCAAGTTTATGCAAGCCTCACCAACATGCCTGTCAAACCACTCGACGACGTCGTCCAATCGCGTAAAGAGATCTTGTACTGTGACACCGCTTTCAAGGGTGAGGTTGTCGATGAGCTCCGTGGAGCTGTCGCTGTTCTTGATCTGCCCTATAGCCTCGTCACGGATGTCGCGCAGCTGCGTCAAGCCGTAGTGTACCTGCAGTAGGTTGGGCTGGTTGGCAGGATCTTGGGCATCTTCTTCCAACAGCATCTCGAGGTTCTCCAGGCGCTGTGCGAAGCTCTCGATATCGGTTCGCATCTTCTCGACCGACTCAAAGTTCTTGTGTGTCTGGGCTACCAGGTTGATGTGGGGAAAGTCCTGGATCATGTTCTGGGCCTCCGCACACAGCTTGTCAATCTTCATCATCTCCTCCTTGATCAGGTTGACGGTCCGCTGTCCCTCAGTAATGCTACTCATGCCCGATTGAGTCAGCTCCAGCTGCTCCTTGAGGCCATGGCGCAGCTGACCATCGACAGCTGCCTTCTTGCGGGTGAATTCGGCCTTGAGGGCAGGGATCTTGTCGAGGTCCTCTGGGTGTCGTAGCAGCTCAGCGAGCTTGACTGTCGCGGACTCGACATCGCCCATGGTGCTGAGCGGTGGTGGATTGGGGCAGGCGTGCGCCCATGCCCATGATAGGGTGAAAGTCGCGGGCGGTGCGGGCGGACGGCAGACAGCGGGTGGTGGTTGCGGTCTTGGTGTATGGTGTGTGTAGTTACATGTGTGTCGTGTTCGTGTTGGGGTTCGGAGGTCCAAGGCGTGTGAATGGACGGCTGCAGTCAAGACCTAGCGCGTCCGAGCCCAAGTTTCCATCCCCCCCAGTGCCCCCCTCCCCGCGCCACCACCACGTTGTCGACAAACTATTCCACCCACACTAGAAGCCATGGCTGACGAAGAGTTGAACCTCTACGACGAAATCGAAATCGAGGACTGTTTCTATGATGAGACACTGCAAATCTATCACCACCCATGTCCCTGTGGCGACCGTTTTGAGATTTCCATTTTCGACATGCGAGACGGCGAGGATATTGCGCGTTGCCCCAGCTGCAGCCTGATGATTAGGATTATATTCGACCCCGTATGTGCCGGGCTTGTTCCTTGTGAGTCATGACATTGCTGACATTGCGCAGTCCGACCTTCCCCCGGAAAACGACGACGCACCGCAGAGTGTTGCCATTGCCGCCTAGAGTTGCATCTTCTCGATCTACAAATCACCCGCGGAGACTTTTACCTTTTTTTTTCAGGCCTTGTCCTTGCATGTATTGTGGTGTTACATTTCACGGCGTTTGGGACAACATGCGCGCATAACAATTTTGGACTTGTCGCTACTTGGCTATGGACTACCCATTCCCAGGACGTGCGGCCTGAGCAGCGTGCTACAGCAAATGTCAGTGACCATTTTCTGCTCCATCAGCGCGGAACCTCGTCATCAACGCTGACATCAACACCCAGCTCCTTCCTTAGAATCTCAGTCAGCGAGGTGCCGTCTCGCAAATATATCCAGTCTCCAATACCGCATCCTTCCTTTTCGCCCATACCTTCTTGGGACACGACCCAGTCGAAACGCTTTGGTCCAGATATTGGGGAGCTGAGCCAGATTTGCTTGTTTGGGGGTTGCTTGTTCAAGACAAATGTGTTGCTCTGAGATGTAACTTCGAGGACGCCAGACTGTTCATAGACAAAAGCAAATTAGCAATCAATTCAATGCCGATGCATGTGCATAAGGCCGACATACTGAGTAATCCACCTCAATGGCTGGGTCGTTCTCTTGTGCTTCCTCAAGCCTCTGCTGCAGCTCGCCCAGGTAATGGTCTGCGCGCTCGTGGAACTCTTGCATTGAGATGTCGGTCGCTTTGACTGGCGTTTCTTGGGAGGGAAGCTCTGGTGGCTTTGGGTCTTCGGAGTCCGGCATGATGCTCCGCAGGCTGGCGGATGCATGCAAGGGACGGAAGCATGTTGTGTTGGTAGTAGCTGGAGCTCTGCCGGCGATGACGCGACCAACAGGCAATTGGTCGCGAAGCGGCGAGCGCAGGGCACGACGAGCGACCAAGCTGGCGAAGCGAGTGGCTGCTGGTCTCATGATGAGATGTGAATTGGATTGTGCACAAGAAAGACGAGTATAAGAACAGTAATAGTACAGTATAGTGTACAATGCTTCGTGGTGGTGGAGCAAGCGGCAGGAGCATGGACCCCCTCCTCGTCCTGCTCGCCTACGTATGTGGTGTGCTACTATGTGCGAACGTCCCCGCATCTGCAGCAGGCGGGGACTCTCACCAACCAACTGCCACGACTCACCGCCGACCGCATCCCATCACCCACCACCCATCGCTCGTCGCCATCATGATCAACGCCGTCCTGGTCTTCAACAATGCGGGACAGCCGCGGCTAACAAAATTCTACACCCAGCTGGTATGAGCACGTGACCTTTACCGTCACCTCCACCACCATCTGCCTGCTTGTGCGCCGCTAAACCAACAACGCGTAGGAGACCAGCGTCCAGCAACGCCTCATCTCCGAAATCTTCACCCTCGTCGCCAATCGTCCTAATTCAGCATGCAACTTCTTGCCGTGAGCCGCTCTCCATGCCTCCTTTTTGCCCTCCACAACCTGAGCTAATCCCGCTCCAGCCTTCCTCCGCTCCTCGCCAGCAGCTCCAAATCCTCGACTCCTAGCACCCCGCACAACGACACGCCCTCGCTCGTGACCTACCGCCACTACGCGACCTTGTACTTTATCGTCATTTCCACTTCTACTGAGTCGCCACTCGCCCTTCTTGACCTTATTCAAGTCTTCGTACAGGCACTTGATGGCCTCTTTGAGAATGTATGCGAACTGGACCTCATCTTTAATTTCGAGACACTGCACGCCACACTGGGCGAAATGATTGTCGGTGGCGTGGTCGTCGAGACACAGCTTGACAAGGTCATACACGCAGTCAGAGCCCAAGGCAGAGTCGCCAAAAGACCAGTAAATGAAGGAAAGAATCTAGGCGGTGGGGGCGGCGGTGGCGTTATGGGCGGTCTCACATTCGCTGGGCTGGGGCGGGGAGATGGTATTTGGGCTGGACGTTGAAGACCGGGAAACTAGACCCTTTCCAATGCCTACTTTCAACTATCCAAACAGCGACACCTGCCACCTTGGTATCATGCCGAGACTACTTCTTATCGGATACGACTACAAGCCCGACTCGGCGTTCAAGCCAAGCGTGCCTGAACACGTTTACACCCTTTGGTGTTGCCTTTTGTCCCTGAGGATTTGCCTCTTCGTCGGGGAAACGAGGTTCCGCGCTATTTACAATGTACCCCGAGTTTTGTTTCGAGCATATCAGTGCAATGCTTCGACAGTGCAGTTGCATTGTTTCCGGCGGATTAATCTGGGAGTTTCTCCGATCTGTCAGAAACCTGGTAAACGTCAGGGGTTCGGTAGCAATCGAAACCCAAGCGCTTATAATCTTTGCCGAGCTAAGTTTAATTGAAACAAGCTTCGGTCTAATAAAGGATGGTGCCTTCACATCTAAAAACCCCTTCATATAATATGCCTTGCGGCAGAGAAAAAATGGAGAAGAATCGCTCCAATGAATGGCTAGATGTGTCTATTTCCGCTCGTCCTGATTGCTGGACTGTTTCACAGCGATACTGGGCATGCGAAACAAGCTTCCCTTGGCGCACGTACCTTCCTATTCACAACAATGTCTATAAGAGCCGCACTACTTCCACTACCCTATGAATCACCAAACTATACCTATCACTCCTTCAATCCAACACCATGCGTTTCCTCTCTATCGTTTCCAGCCTTTTGTCCGTAGCCGCAGCCGCGACTATCGGTAAGCGTGCTGTCACTCCTGGTACCCTCTCCCAGGTTACCAGCGGTTTTAGCGCACCTACCAAGGCAGGCTTCTTCATCTATGTTCCCAAAAAGCTTGCTGCCTCGCCAGGTCTCATTGTTGCCATCCATTACTGCGGTGGTTCAGCCCAGGCATACTACAACGGTAGCCCCTACAAGACCCTGTCTGAGCAGTATGGTTTCGTCGTCGTCTACCCAAGCTCGCCTCAATCATGCTGGGATGTGAGCAGCAAGAAGACACTCACCCATAACGGCGGTGGAGACTCCAACTCCATTGCCAACATGGCCCAGTGGGCTATTAAGCAGTACAAGGTGGACACCAACAAGGTCTTTGTTACTGGCTCCAGCAGTGGTGCTATGATGACGGTACGCCATTACCCTTTGCGCTTCTTAAAACCCCTGTTACAGTACTAACGTCAACACAGAATGTTATGGCTGCAGCCTACCCCGAGCTCTTCAAAGCTGCCATTGTTTACAACGGTGTGCCCGCCGGTTGCTTCGCGTCCCCATCTGGTGCCGTTGCTGCCTGGAACAGCGACTGTGCTCAGGGCAAGGTCATCAAGACACCTGCTGCGTGGGCCAAGATTGCGACCGACATGGACCCTGGCTACTCCGGCCCTCGCCCCAAGATGCAAATCTACCACGGCAACATCGATACCACCCTCCGCCCCCAGAACTACCCCGAGACAATGAAGCAGTGGGCCGGTGTCTTTGGCTACAACTATGACAAGCCCCAGAGCGTTCAGCAGAACACCCCTCAGAGCGCTTTCACCAAGACCGTCTGGGGCCCCAACGTTCAGGGTATCCTTGCCGCCAACATCGGACACACTGTCCCTATCCGGGGTGCCGACGACATGAAGTTCTTTGGCTTTGCCTAAGAATGTGCGTATTTGCCGCAATGTTCACTGTAAACAATTCTTCAGGAGATTGAACAGGTTTTTGGGTCGCATCACCATGGGCCAGTCATTTGAGGCCTGCTCCCAAGGAAGCTTCGACTGTAAATATTTATCGTTTCTCTGAATAGTTCATTGTTACGCATTGGATGCGGACAATGGCTATTCAACCCCGTACATAAACTGAAATGTCAACTCGATGTTGCAAAATCACTTTTTTCCCGATTTCACAGTGATCCTGAATCTTTTTTTTACTGACTGAAACCTGATATTCATATCAAATATCCTATGATCCTTTAGTTTCTCTAACAAAAGCCCAACTAAGCACCATCCAAACTATCAAAACTAAACTTACTCCCAAGCCTCAGTCCCCCAACATCCTCATCTGCCGAAAACCTACTACTACCCCCATACCTACCCATATTATGATACCCCACCCGCATCGACCCGCCACTCCCCCTATTCTCCCTCCCTCGATTCCTAGCATAATACTCATCAACATCTCTCCTTGAACTCACACGGCGATACGCACTGTCATCACGTCGGCTCCGCGGCCACGTCTCATACACATCATCGTCACTACTGGAATCAAACACAGAAGCTAGTGCTTTCCGCGTTGCGTTTTTTACCTCTGAGATTTGCACGCGGTGGGCGTGCGGGAGGCGCTGGGTTTGGTAGGGGGTTGGGGGGAAGGGGGGTGGCGGGTAGGAGGATGAGGACAAGGAAGAAGAAGAAGAGAAGGAGGGGGTGAAGGTGTAGGAGGAGGTGTAGGAGGAGGAAGAAGAAGAAGGAAAAGAAGAAGAGGAAGGAGGTGGCAGGATGTGTTTTTTAGCCAAGTGCCATTCTAGATGGGATGTTTCTTGTTGTCGTTTTAGGTACTTGTATTCGTCGCTGGGAAGGCCGCGAGATGGGGGTGAGGTGGGGTAGTAGGCTGGGGTGTTGTAAGAGGGCATTGTGGTTTTGTCTGTGTGGTGTGGATGTGACGATAATTCGACTTTTTTCGTCTGGTAAGTTTGTCTTGTCTGCTCTGACTTTCTGTCAGCCTGGGTGACTTTCTGGTATGATTGGAGATCAGATGGAGATAATTTAAATATCAGTAAGAGGACTCGGTGGGCGTGGTTGAGGCGAGACATTGTTTTTGCACTGTTTATCGTGTGTGTGTGTGTGTGTGGATAATGTGAGGATGGGGGGGGTTTACAGTGTATATGGATGGAGATGGCAGAAGTTTATACAGGCTTGGTTGGGTGGGAGACTTTGAACAGAAACATGATGAGTGAAGTGTTTGAATTCAGACGTTTTTGTGACAACTTGTGAGATTACATTCATCGCGCGGGTATTCTGTTCAGTCTAGATAACTAACATGCATACATAATTTTAAGACCAACTAATTACGCCTTCTTAATCCCATAATGCCTAACCACGCATTTTAAGTACTTCTTCAGTCCCATTGCCCTTACTCCCCTCCTTACCAATGGTCGTGCATCATCATTCAGATCTGTCTTTGCTTCCTCATGCACAGGGGCTATGGGTAGCAAATCCTGCGAGGGTAAAGGATAATATGGGAAATCGTCGTCGTGGATAGTTTGCAACCTAGTTTTAACTTCTGGCCCAAAAATTGGCTCTTGATCAGTTACGGACTGATGCTGTCTACCATGTGTCTGGGTACTTTCCCATTGTGTATGTGACTCGGGCTCGGCATAGAGATCGAAATCGTCTGGTAGAATATCGCTCATCCTTGCATCTGCAGATCGCCAAGTTCCTCGGTCATTTTCTGGAGTACTACCTGTTGAAGTGGATAGTGAATTTACTGAGGTATCTGATGTATTGACAGTTGCCAAGGCACCTCTACAGTAAAAAGGTTGAAGTATGGGAGAATCTGGGCGGAAGCTTTCTTCCGAGGGGGTAGGACTGAGTAGGAATGTTTGCTTGACTGGAGATTGGGTTCCTGTGATGCTAGCGAAGACTCGTTTGGAAAGATGCAGGAGGTTGGACGGAAATTCCCGAAGATCAATGTTCGATGTCATTTTCAGTCTATTCAGGGAGATATTGTGGGAAAAAATGGATGTGGTAATTACAGTGGAAACGTAGCACTGAAATTGTTTGCGAAATTGGTGTTGCGTCAGATATCAAGATCATAAGCGAACAAATTCAGAATTTTGTTGTTGGATCCATATCACCTAATATGAGCCAAAAAGTGCAACTGTTCAAAGACACTGTTAACAAGTGAACGTTGTGGGAACAAAGGGTTGAACAAGATATGCGAACTGTGCAGTACAGCAACAAAGAGACGCTCCGTGCTCTACAAAAGAAATCGTATGTCAGAACACACAAGTCGACACACATTGTACTTGATGTTCACAATTGAGAACAAATAATGTAGTGTATATGGTAAAAGACTAGGTCTGGTAGCCTATGGTGTTGATCGTATGTGGAATAATTAGTCATGCTGATGAGTTGTGCCAATTGTATTGGTGTTGTGCAGAACAACATTCTTCTTTACTAACAGACTGGGTTTCGACCAAACGTATGAATTTCTCTAACCACTGCAAAGTGAGGGAAAAAAAAATTCAGCGACAGAAAGTATTTCAATCCAAGAATTGCATACTGGAACCGAACTACAAATAACATCACGTGATATCAAAAGTATGGGCGGCTAGTAAGCCCCCCAAAAATGCCGCAGAATGCGGTGAGAGTATTTTTGGGCTTATCAAAGCGGTCAGTTTACGGGACGATCGAAGGAATCTGGTTCAAGATAATGCGTCGGAGTACCGCAATGTGGTGATTAGTGTTAAAAGACGAGCGATAGGGCGCGCTGTAGTGAACGAGCGAAGCTGTGGTTGAGGCCGTTGATTGGACAATGATTTTCTACGCACAACTGAAGTGCGTTCCTTGGCGTTACTGCCTTGACTAAAGAAGTAGTCGCTCTAGCATCTTTCGTAAACCAGAGAATAGAATATGGTGTATACTATAGCTTTACTGAGTTGCGTACTGAATTTTTCAAAGGCCCGAAGTTTGGAACCGTCCTGTATTGGGGTGCGTCCCAGGTCCAAGGGATTGACATAACTCTCTGTCAAGTACAAGTTCCGTTTACTCTCGAATCGGCCCATTGGACGGAATTCTGACATCACATGACCCCTCTATAGTAATACCATTGATTTACGGTACTATCAATTGATAAGCGTCCAAACCATGACAAAGACTATAATAGACTGCAGTTCGGAATATAATATAATCGACATGCAAAGTCGTCTACTTAGTGCTGCGCAAAAGAATCGTGTCTATAGATGTAGACATTGGAAACTCGATCGAAATGTCATAGGCAGGAAACCACGCCTCTGTAAATAACGCCGTGTATGTCAAACTCCATTTTGGGTAGCCAGAAGCATCAAGCAGTGATGCATAGGCCGCGGTGAATTACATGAGAAAATCGAAGCTCCGGTGCGAGGAATCAACGCCGGCTTTTAAGCCCAGCCCTTGCGGCTGTGGACCGTCGCTCTGGCTTGGACTCGTCCTCGCTTTCAGAGGCACCACCGTCATCCATACCGTCGCTCATGGGGTCTGACATATCCTCGCCCTCGTCATCGTCCGTCTCTTCGGCCTCATCATCAATGAGATCGTCATCCGAGCCTTCGCTATCCTCGTCTGAAACATCATCCATTTCCATATTCAAGCCCATTTCGTCCGAAGAACTGTCCTCGTCGTCTTCCATTTCTGCGCGCAATCTCTTTGGCGTCGCAGTGGCACCCTCAACCGACTCGTCGTCGGAGACATAGTCATCCTGGCCTTCAACGTAAATGAGGGCCTCGTCAGCATCGTCATTGGCGGCTTGGTTGCGTTTCCTTAGGTCGAGTTGGGCCTGAAGCATGTCCAGGCGGCCCTTTAGCGACATGAGAGGCATCAGACCGCTCGAGCGCTCCTTGAGTACTTTGTTGAGTGCGGTGAGTTGCTTGACGATTTGCGGCTGCGATGCCAGATATCCACCGTGGGCGGCGCTGTGTAAAATTAGAGTCAGCGTGCGTGTCTTATGTGCAGTCGGCATGTGGAAGCTTACAGTGACCATTGCACCCAGGCCATCAACATGCCTGCGCGGCCGGGGCTCCGATGCAGGCGCTCGGCCAGTCTCTGCAACAGTGTTCCTACGAGGGACGATGGCAGCCGTTCTACAGTGGCATATACGGATTCTACATCGACAACCTGCAGACAGGAATCGAGAAGCTCCTTGTCGTTTGTGCGCAACGCCTGGGTTAGGACGGTGCCGAGAGAGTTTGCATTGGGCGGCGCAAGCGGGCGGTCTTTTCTCGCAGCTACGGTGCGCTCTGGGTTTGGTTCGAAAGCATCCTCGACGCTGATGATGCGCGACTCTTGTACAGGCTCGGGAGCCTCTGCACGCAAGCGGTCACCGAAAGTAACATCTTCATTGTCCTCATCTGCAGCGGCATTGGGAGCGGGGGTGTCTTGGTCGACGCTGGTGTGTGCGGAGTGGCCGTGCGCATCATCGGAATCGTCATCGCTCTGCTCGTCGGCGCTGCTGATTTCAATGACGTCCGCATCTGCCATGTGGGCATCAGCAGGCCCTTGGATGGCCGCCGTAGCGTCGTCGACCTTTTCAGCGCGCGAATTCTTGAGGCCGATGGTTTTGGCTGTGGGCTTGGCTGTGCTGCCGCCAGCTAGCGCCTTGAGACCATTCTGGCGGGCTGTGACAGAGGCATGCGGCTGGGCCAACTTTGCCTTCTTCGCGGGCGGGGCGCGGTCGCGCGAGCGGGGAGCTGAGAGGGCGGTGGGCATTGTGGGAGAAGCCCTTGAGGAGTGAACAGTCGGGGTCGATGGGGAATGGGCAGCGAGGAAGACGAGAGGTCGATGAGGCCGTGGTGCTGTCAGGCTGTAGCAGCACGCGCAGAGATGCAAGTGGTCGCAAAAAATTTGGAAAGAGCGGATTAGCCACCCCTGCACGCACGGGCCACCGAGACAGGGATCATGGTACGGTGAAGAGCTGGCCCACGGGTGCTTGATGGCAACGCTCCACGGCGCGGGCAGCAGCAGCACCAAGTGTCGCAGCAACTGTCGCCGTCTCCGCCGCCGCAGCAGAGGGCGGGCAGAGGGGTGATGCAGCAGTGTGCACACGCAGCGGGCGATGCAGCGGGCGCGGGGCGGGTTGGTGGCAGGCAGAGGCTTTGAGGCTTTGGGGCAGAGAGGCAGAGGCAGAGGGTGGTGGTGCAATGGCCGGCAAGGACACGTACCCCGTCCAGGTTAGTGGCAGGTCAGGGGCTCCAGCAGGGCTTGGCTCGGAGATGGAAGGGCCGGGCTACTTAACCCCAATGCCTCTCCTCTCGCGTCTGTCTTCGACGTTCTTGCGTCCATTGTCCTGATCTGCCTCCAATCACTACGCGCCTGCTCCCCATCACCCTAACCTTACTCGCACCCCGCCACACTCGCAACCCCTCGCCCAGGCTCGCCCACGCTTCCCGCTCCCACTTGACCACCACCACGACCACCACCACACACTTTCTGTAATACTTGCGACTTTTAATAATTCCTACCTCCACCCCCCGGCCGGCCTGCACCTGCACCTGCACCGCGCTAGTCCTCACCGGCCGTCCGAGCACCCAGCCCGCCGTCACCATCCCTGCGCATCCTCCATCGCCAGCCATTGTGGTGTTGGATTTGGTTGTGCCTGTGCCTGCGCCTGCTGCTCCCCTCCCGCGCTCGTCTTTGCCGCAGATTCAAAAGTCCGCCGCCGCTCGCCTTCACCTCGACCCTTCCGCCTCGCGCCCCACCCCAGACGCGTCGGCCTTCGCAAAGGCTCATTGGTCGCTGCATAACGTCCGGCTTAGCTCCGACCGCCACGGCTCTTCATCATCTCGCCGCCGCCACTTGGTACGTAGTCACGTGCGTTTCAGCCTCCCCAACATATATGCTTGTCGTGCTGCCCCTCCGTTGTTGCTCGCGTTGCTCCCCACGCTAGTCTCACATCCCCGCCCCACCTCTGCTGCTACACACGCGCCGATATTGCACACGACACTGCACCCACTACATCCCTCGCATATACTGTACTCTACCATCCTGCCATCATTCTGCCACCCCATCACTCCCTGGTTACGCGTCTAGTGCGTAGTCGCGCACGCGCATGCAATGGCTGTCGCTAACAGCCCCAGATTGGCAACGCCTCCAAGCAGCCCTGCTTCCCTGTCAGCCGTGCGCAAATCCGACTTTCCCTTTCATGGCCCTATGGCAGTAATGACCTCGCCTGTTGTCGACAAAACTTCCTTGGACCTGAAGGTGAGCGCTTTTGCGCCGGCAGACGCCATGGCAGTCGACACCGAGACAAACGGGTAAGTCGCCCTTTGCGCGTCCTTGCGCTTGCCTCCCTCATCTTGCGCAACGTCCATTAATACCTGGCAGAGTGCACGACGTCCTCTTTGACGACCCACAAACCAATGGCAAAGTCGCCGACGACCCGGCCCAACCGAAACCAACCCTAAATGGCAACCATGCAGCCCCCGACACGTCAGCGCCTGCCGACGAGTCTGCCATCGAGTCTACCATCGAACCCACGACCAACGTATCATCTGGAATCGATGGCATCGCACAGTATCTACCGGACAGCCAGCAAGATATCAACTCGCTATTTGGTGACTCGGACATTGGTGCGACTGTGACAAACGCTGTTGAGGCGCCTACATCGGACGTGCGCGACGAGCCCGCGCCAGCTCCACAACCGCCTACAGACACCCAGACCACAAGCGACAGCACACAGCAAGTACCCGAGACGCAGATTTCGCCCAAGCAAGAGGAGCCTGCTCCAGAAAGCATGGACACTTCTGCCGACGCACCCGAGTCCACCCTTGCTGAGTCTTCTGGCGCGCCGACAAAACCAATGGATGACTTGAAAATCCACACTAGTGCGGATGACGCTACTACGCTTGTCACATCAACGCAATCGCCAGCGATCGTAGACCGCGAGATGGAAGATGCGCCATTGTCCGGCAAAGTCCGCCCGCGTGAAGACGATGACGATGATGTTCCTGACGCAAAGCGCACAAAGACCGATGACGAAACGGTCCCCCAGACCGAAGTCAAGCCATCCGCACTGCCAAGCCAGCCCGAGCAGACCAACGGCAACAGCGCTACCCCGGGCCCAGCATCGGAATCTGCGCAAGAGGCTTCTGGCGTCCACAAGGCAGTTGATTGGGAGGAATGGCCAACCACGCCTTTGACCGAAGCCCAGAGCAAATTCTTGCTTGAGCGGATACGGAATACTAAAAAGATCAAGGTGTCACTAGCGTTCAAGGATCCTGTGGACCCCGTAGCACTCAACATTCCAACCTACTATGACGTTGTCAAGCATCCTATGGATTTGACTACCATGGAGGCCAAGTTGAAGGAGAAAAAGTACAAGTATGTAAGGGACTTTATGGCAGATCTTGATCAGATGATTACCAACAGCGAGCTATTCAACAATAAACAGCACCCGGTCACGCAGGCCGGATACAATCTGCGAGCCTATTTCCTCAAGGGCATGGGTAAGATGCCTCGGGGCGCTGCTGCTGAAGAGCCGCCCAAGCCAGCAAAGGCCAAGAAGCCGTCGGTCAACACTGCGCAAAAGGCTAGGCGCGAGTCGCGCGTTGCACCGCCCAACGTCAAGTCTCCCGCTGTCCCCACGCCAGCTGCTACATCACCACAGGCTGCTTGGCCACTGCAACAAGATGGCACTCCGCTGATTCGTCGTGATTCATCTACTACAGATGGCCGACCAAAGCGCGAGATCCACAGACCCTCCAAAGACTTGCCCTATTCGAATGCTAAGCCGAGAAGGAAGAAGTTCCAGCAGGAGCTCAAATTCTGCGAATCTGTGATCACCGAGCTTATGAAGCCAAAGTACAGCACTCTTACTTACCCCTTTACCTCTCCGGTAGACCCTGTCGCTCTCAACATTCCTTCATATCTCAAAATCATCAAGAAGCCCATGGACTTTGGCACCATTGAGAAGAATCTCAAGAACGGTGTCTACCAGAGTGCAAAGGACTTCTATGCCGATGCCCAGCTCGTGTTCCAAAACTGCTACAAGTTCAACCCCGAGGGTGACGCCGTCAACCAGATGGGCCACAAGCTCGAGGAGCTCTTTGAGAGTCTGTGGAAGGAAAAGGCAGACTGGCTCGCCCAGCATGCTCCTCCTCCTGAGCATTCTCCAAGCGATCTCTACTCTGATGAGGATGACGACGAGGATGAGGAGGATGAGGAGATAGACCAAGCTCAAGCGCAAGCTCAAGCTCAGTTTATTGCTATCCAGCAGCAAATCGCAGCCCTGAATGCGACTGCCCAGCAGCTCCTGCAACAGCAAACGGGTGCCAAGCGTGCCTCGCCCAAGCTACCTGGCAAGAAGAAGAAGGGCGCTGGGCAATCTGCGAAGAGGAAGAGCCTGCCTCTGGCGGTGCCACCTCCGGCCAAGCCCATCAAGAGCGCGCCCGTCAAGAAGGCAAAGGCGCCTGCACCTCTCAGCTTTGCTCAGAAGCAGGAGATTTCCGAAAGTATTAGCACTCTTGGAGATGCTGAGATGCATCGAGCAGTTCAGATTATCCGAAATGGATGCCCGCACCTTGCCAGTGTCAATGACGACGAGATGGAGCTTGACATGGATGAAATCAATGACGACACGCTTAGGGAGCTGTTGAAGTTCATCAAGTCTCTGCGCGGTCCGAAAGGAGGTGCGGTAGCCGATGACGATTTCGAGCCACCAAGACCCGTGTCGAAGCAGACGGCAAGCCGGCCCAAGAAGAACAAGCCCATGGGCAAGTCAGAGCAGGAAGACAATATGCGCAAGATCCAGGAGAAGCTGCAGTCGTTCCAGGGTGGTGCATCGGGATCCAGCCAGTCTCCACCTGGTAAGTTGTCAGTGCTTGATCAAAGCAATCATCCACTAACCTCTGCAGTGCACGATGCATCCAGCGACGACGATGAGTCGAGCGGCTCTGAAAGCGAAGAAGAGTAAACCTCTTCGGCACACCCTCTTGTTTCCGCGTGACTTGCTCGCCTGCCATGCTCTGCCGTACCCCCTGTTCTGCCCTGCGTGTTCGATGATTGGTCCAGCTTCATCCCTTCTCTTCCCTGTATGAATGAACAGCCTTGAGCTTCTTGGTGCGGTCGATCAGGTATCGCCATGGATTACCAAGGGCTGAAGCGGAATGTTAGTGCGTGCTTTAATATCTGCGCGTCCTCATTCACTCACACATTGCACGTCACCCTTCTCATACCCACATACACAACGTTTGTATAGTATTCTCTTCGCGACCAGATCCCCCCCTAGCGGTACCTTGATGATGGTACCCATGCCGACAATGGATTACGAGTGACGACGAGGTTTGTCTTTTGCGCTGGTCCATCTAGTTGAGGACATGGGCTGCTCGCTGTACCCAGCATTTGGCGTGGTGTGGTTGTAAAGACGGAGGACATTTCGAGTAGTCTTTTTGCTGTATGAATACGCTGCGCGAGGTTGGCAGCCAAAACAAAATGCAGATAATTTGTCCAATGCGTCTTTCGCCGTGTTCATTCGTGTGTGATGTTGTGTTCTTCTTCAGCCAGGCCTTTGTCTTGTTGACTACTCGAAACTGGGTCGTACCCAAGGACAGGGTCGACAGGCCGAGGATAGGGGAGAGATGCCGACGTGCGTTGAGGGTGAGTAAGTGACCCAGAGAAAGGTGGTGTGTAGCAATCGTCGTTTATTGCTTTACTGCTCGTGGTTGGATGCGTTGGATGCCTGCATGAGCGTCTCGTCAGGGGGCGAAAGAGTAGTAGCCGGTGGTTGATCAGGCAAGCCAGTACCGAGGGGTTACGAAGTGGTGCAAAGACCAGTCCTCCAGGACGGTCGTGTGTAGCGCTGTGCATGAGGAGTGCATCCTAAGAGAGTGGGGGAACTAGATACTGTACGCTTTGTCGCTGGCTCCGCATATGCGTCGTGTAAGCGTCGTGTGACGGCAGCGGACAAGCGGCGCCAGGGAGAGGGACAGAGGGCTCGACAGTCGGGGGGCAACGCATGCAGAAAACAAAGTTAAGTTAGGAGAAGCAGTGGCGATAGCTTAGAGAACACAAGAAAAGCACACGCTGCAATGTAGTGAGCGAGAGAGGGAGAAAGAGAGAGTGTTGTCCGGGAATAGTGGCTGTTCTGTCTCTGCAAGCGGAGGTGGAGGGTGGGGAATCAGCGGGTGCCCTGACTTGAGTGTGTGCGTGTGAGTGCTGAGCGGTCGGCGCGCTAGCTGTGCCTTTCGCGAACTGCCCATGTCTCGCCCAAAACTTCGAGCTCCATAGACACGCCAAACACGACGCGCCCAGCTACATCCACCCTTCACGCCACCCCCTCACCCTCCGTCCAACCTACACCGGCCCTCGTTTCAGCATACCCGTTTCACCTACACCATAATTGAGTCTGCGACTGCCAAAATGACAACGGTGCCGGTCAGCGAAGTTAAGAGCACACATGATCGCTCCTCAAGAACCGCGGCGCATTCCCATATCAAAGGCCTAGGCCTGTCAAGTGATGGGCGTGCGACAACCTCAGCCGGAGGCTTCATCGGCCAGGCTGCAGCTCGAGAGGTACTTGATGGCCCGCTGTTTACTCAATCTTGGCGCTAACCCGCCCAGGCATGCGGTCTGGTCGTCGACCTTGTCAAGGCAAAGAAGATGTCTGGTAGAGCTGTGCTGCTCGCAGGTGGACCGGGAACGGGCAAGACTGCACTGGCATTGGCCGTAAGCCAGGAACTCGGCACAAAGGTCCCCTTCTGCCCTATTGTCGGCAGTGAGATCTACTCTGCGGAGGTCAAGAAGACAGAGGCGCTCATGGAGAACTTCAGAAGGGCCATCGGTGCGCATCTTTTTTCCTCTTCCTCCGGCCACACTAACACTCAGCCACAGGTCTGCGCGTCAAGGAAACAAAGGAAGTCTACGAAGGTGAAGTGACCGAGCTCACCCCAGAGGAAGCTGAGAATCCACTCGGAGGCTACGGCCGCACCATCTCCCATCTCCTCATTACGCTCAAGTCTGCCAAGGGCACAAAGAAGCTGCGACTCGATCCATCCATTTACGAGGCTATACAGAAGGAGCGCGTGCGCTTGGGCGATGTCATCTACATTGAAGCCAACACGGGCGCTGTGAAGCGCGTTGGCCGATCAGACGCTTACGCGACCGAGTTCGATCTCGAAGCAGAGGAGTATGTGCCTATACCAAAGGGCGACGTGCACAAGAAGAAGGAGATTGTCCAAGACGTTACCCTACACGACTTGGACGTTGCAAATGCACGGCCGCAGGGAGGTCAGGACATTATGAGCATGATGGGTCAGCTCATGAAGCCAAAGAAGACGGAGATTACAGAGAAGCTGCGGTTAGAGATCAACAAAGTTGTCAACAGGTACATCGACCAGGGAATCGCCGACCTAGTACCCGGTGTTCTCTTCATTGATGAGGTTCACATGCTTGACCTTGAGGCTTTCACCTTTCTCAACCGCGCGCTTGAGTCGCCCCTCTCGCCCCTCGTTATTCTTGCTTCAAACCGTGGCAACACGCACATTCGCGGCGGCACAAACCTGCCTCCTTCGGCCCATGGCATCCCAACGGATTTACTTGCACGACTCCTCATCATTCCCACACATCCGTACAGTCCGGCAGAAATCAGCTCCATCATCACTACGCGCGTTACGACGGAGAAGCTCAACATTTCGCCGGCAGCAAAGGACAAGGTCAGCTCATTGGGCGAGAAAATCAGTCTGCGGTATGCGCTGCAATTGCTAGCGCCTGCCAGCGTACTGGCCGAGGTGAATGGACGGGAGAATAAGCAGATTGAAGTTGAGGACGTAGAGGAGTGCCAGGATCTGTTCTTGGATGCACGAAGAAGCGCAGAAGCATTGGGACAGGCAAGTGGGTATATCTCGTAGGTGCTATGTTGTAGTTTGTACAATAGCCCTGGCGTTTGGATGCAGAGGACGGTAGGCGTTCCTCAATCATAGGGAGCAGTGTTTGTTTGTTTTATGTTATCAAAAGGCTAGACGATATTTGCACTGGATAATACGATGTTACGGCACATGAGTTGTACCATGGCCTACCAAAGAAGAGGAAGAACAGTAGTGATGCATGGCAGTGAAATTGTAATATGTAAATACATAGAGCAGCCTTGGGGAGACGTTAGTATATCTTGATTCAAGTGGAGATGTCGACTTGCAAGGGTGACTAGGTGAGATTTGATCTGAATGATTACAGAAGATGTCATAGAATCGGACGCTAGATCTACGGACAGGGATATTCTTGAGCTGTGATTGCACACGACAGTAATATGTAGGGACCGTTTAGACTGTCGGGGTATTACGGAAGGAGTTCAGATGGCAAGAACAGGTTCTGCCAAGGACACACGACTTCCGTTGCCACTCAACGGCTCCGATTGGTTCCGTCGGCTATATGCCTAAAGCTACATGAACAAAAGCTGTTTGCCTTTTGACTCTTCGCAACCACGACCGGCTATACGCACATATATACATCAAGAACCTTGGTGCAAGTCACTACTATCACAAATATCAAACCACGCCTTTCTCGTTACCTATTACAATGCCTACCGCGATGCGCGCTCTGGTGCGCCTACCTCGGCAGCTGTCCAGGCGCTCTTTTGCCATGTCTGCACGCACCGCACAGTCACCATTTGGCTCTGGACCTTCGCCCCCACGCCTACCCAAAGAGGAGCAGGAAATCTTTGAGAAGCTGCAAAAACAAAGCACTGGGGCCTTTAGCACGCCAAGAGGAGGCGAGGAAGAAGCAGCGGCACCGTCGTCCAAAGCAAACATTCGCATGCAAATCAATCAATCGCCAGACTCTTCTTCTTCTTCTTCGTCATCGCGGCCGCAAATCAATCAGTCGCCCGACTCATCGGCAGAGCCAGAGATCAGGTTTGAGAATGGCAAAGAGATCAAAAAGGGAGAAGAGTTTCATCCTAACATGAGAAGAGGCGCACCGCCCGAGTTTGAGGGCGATGTCAACCCCAAGACTGGAGAGGTGGGTGGACCGAAGAACGAGCCATTGAGATGGGGACACACAAGCGACTGGAGCTACAATGGAAGGGTGACTGACTTTTAATCGCGCAAAGCCATGAAGGATGGAGGATCTGACGCATGACCTGATGTGCAACATGCAAGTAGATATAAGTAAGCGTAGTATTAATTAGTCGATAAAGCTATTGTCATTCATAATTGGGAGCAATGCTAGGCTGAGTCACAAGGTGGTATGCTCGTAGACCCAAAGCGTACCCATGTCCGCACCGGAAAGGTTAAAAAGGTCAACCATCAGTGTGCATACTTAGCTAAAGAGCAAGGTGAGGTGGAAATGCACGTGCGACATGCATACACGAGGCCATACGCAGGCGCGAATGACGTGGCGGCGAGTAGAAGAGCGAGCTCCAGAACGTGGACACGAGCGGGAAATACTCCGGGAACGGGGCGTTCCAGACGAGGGTCGAGTAGGTACATGAGAAGTTATTTTGGGGGGTTCCAGCCGACGATAGACGAGCAGATGCAGTAGGCGAGTCGCTTGGGCGGGGGATGCTTGGTTAACACTATGGCATTTGTGCGCAAGGATGGCGCTTTGAAGAGAGCGTTTTACTCGACCCTTTGCTGCTTGTATAATAGCTCAGGGACAAATAGGCGCACCCGACGAGTCTGACATGCGCGCCCGTTTCATGCTAACGGCATAGGGGCAGCGGTAGCGGTACAGAGAAGGCCATGTGGCGCAGCGTGAGGCCGTGGCTAAGCATTGGCTAGTGGCATAGTGGCTGTCTAACCACGATGGTCTGGGCCCGTGCCCCCTTTCGGTTTTCGGGGCCCACGAAAGCCTCTTTTCCTCTCTCTCTCACACACATACCCACACCCACGTACCTAAATACGTATTTCCGTACGACCGGCCCTTTCCCACGCCCTTTTTTTTTCATTTCTCTCGGATGCCTCGGATTTCGGGCGCGTATACACTCACTTACCATACTCTACACACTTAGAATGGCATCTATACCCGCACTCGGATGCCTGTGTGTTCCTGTTACGTTTCAGGCAGCCCAGCAGCACTCGCCATGTGCACATTGGCGAAACACTCTACTCGTCTCGCCAGCAATCCCATCCCTGGAGCGATCATGTTTTTGCTTCAGGTCGCAACTTGGGCTGCAGGTCCCACATAGTGCCCAGATCAGCCAGCCAGAGTCTTTGCCAGCCGTCCGCTGCAGATCTCTCCCACACTATCTGCCCTCGGAGTAGCCAATGCGTGTTGCTCCCTCTCATCTAGATCCCACACCCCACCCGCCTTTATCCGCTTTTCCCCTGAGAGGCGTCAAAACGTGGGCATGAACTATTGAATCCCCAGGCTCTTGACACACCCAAACGGTGTTGATCACGGATGCGTGCTCTCGTAGTAGTCGTCTTACTTTGCGGTATACGCATCTCGGGCTCTCGTTGGTGCTCGTGGTGTTTTCTCGGTGTAATTGAACTGTCAGCTCACGCTATTCGTTGTCGGTAAATTATCCTAGTCTGACACCAGCGGCCCTGCAGCGCCTAACCCAGGAGTGCCTGGCTGCTTCAGCCTCATGCACACAACGCGCAGCAAACCGTCTTGTCACAACACCTCACAACCCCCCGGGTCTGGCTCCTGAATTCCGGCATCGCGGGTTAGCGCGGTGCCGCCACGACTGGAACTGCCCTTGACAAGATGTACTGTTTTGCATTAGCGGAGCTGCGTACGGGCGTCTCGACTCGTCCATTGCCTGTACATCTGCAGCCGACTACAAAGTCTTCGGCTCAGCCACCCTCGTGTTCGTGTGTGCCAACGCCAATATCAAAATAATCCGTGCCCATGGTATGTTGCATTCACTATAGCGTCCATCTGAAATCTCACGCCCCGCCAATGGCTTGCTAACGCCTCGGTCACTACCAGTCTCTTCGTCACAATTCCCCTATATGACTCTCTGATGTTGTCACCCGTTTTCTTTTTTGCCTGTTTCTTCCCTCCTATCTAAAAAAGATCTACAACTCCTAGTCCCCCTGCGTTATAGCATTGTCACCACCGCCGGGGACCCGCGTCTATTCGGCATCATTGGCAAGGATATCGCCGAACACGGGCACCTTATTTGGGATATCCTTTGTCTTTTGACTGGCCTCGCTCCCTTTCTTCGCACCACAACAGCGGTAGCAACAGCAACAACAATGACAACAATATTGCGCCTGCTGCTTTGTGTGGCCTTCTTCTTCCACAGCGCTCTTGCCCTGGACGATGTCGTCGATCTTGGATATGCAAAGTACCGCGGAAAAAGTATCGGCAATGGCGTCATGCGCTGGGCTGGCATGCGATTTGCCCGTAGCCCCTCGCGGCAAGAGGGTCTGCGATTCGCTGCTCCACAAGATCCAGTCAAGGAAGAGGGCATCGTAGATGCCTCATCGGTACGCCATTTTTTTACATCGTGATCTGACAGGCAAGCTGACAGAATGATAGTTTGGACCCTTGTGCATCGGAACCAGGAGCGACCTCAACGCTGAGACTGGAGGAACTCATGGCGAAGATTGCCTCTTTGTTAACGTCTTCTCACCCGGCACAGCAAATGACACGAGCAACTTACCCGTCTATGTCTTCATCCAGGGCGGTGGCTTCAGCATGAATGGCAACGCAGACTACAATGGTGCGGACCTGATTGATGCTGCTGGCAACGGAATCGTCGTTGTAAACTTCAACTACCGTGTGGGTCCATATGGTTTCTTGGCTTCAGATGAGATTGCGACAAACCAGAACTTCAGCCTGAACAACGGACTCAAAGATCAGAGACAAGCCCTCAAATGGGTACAAGCTCACATCCAGCAATTCGGAGGTGATCCTAAGCATGTGACGATTGGAGGCGCAAGCGCTGGTGGAGGCTCCGTCGTGTTCCAACTTACAGCCTATGGCGGTCGGGACGATGGTCTCTTCCATGCTGCTGCTGCCGAGTCTGCAGCTTTCCCATCTCTGCGTGACGTCAAGGATAGCCAGTGGCAATTTAACGAACTGCTTGGCGCAACAGGCTGCAAGGACATCAACTGCATGGCCAGCATGGATACTGTCCAGTTCCAGAAGGCTGTGCGCACACTGCAGAAACCCTTTCCTGGCGGCGGTGGCCCACCTGTATACTTCTGGAACCCCACAATCGATGGCGATTTCATCAAGGATTTCACCTTCAACGAACTAAGGGCCGGTCACTACGTCCATGTGCCCACCATTTTCGGTACCGCCACGCACGACGGCATCAACTTCACACCCCAAAACGTTGTCTCGGTAGCCAAGGCAGAAAGCTTCTTGACTGATAACTATCCTGGCATGAAGTGGAGCACCATCAGTCGGATTTGGGGCTCTGACACTGCTATTGCCGCCGGTAACAGTGACCGCTGGAGAGCGGTCACGGCTGACATCTATGGCGCAATTCGATACGCCTGTCCTGGACTCAACATTTCTGCTACATTTGCTAGCGACAAGGAGCACTCTACATGGCACTACAGGTGGAACGTCGGAACAGCGTCGCACGTTGGCGAGTTGCTGCCCATCTGGAACAATGCTACCACTGCTGCTGGTGTGTTTGTGCAAGCTTACTGGGCGTCGTTCATCAGGACCTATGATCCGAACAAGTTTGCGGCAGAGTTCCTTGTCGCCAAAGGCTCGGAGTTGAAGAGTCCTAACTGGGAGCCATATGATGCCAAGGATCCAAAGAGATTGGTTTTCAATGATGACAACAATGTGGCTATGGAAAAGGTTTCCGAGGTGGAGCAGAAGCGATGTGATGACGTTGATTCTCTTGGGCTACACTTGAAACAGTAAGTCGTTGTCATGTTTGTTTTCTGGGAAACGCAAATGCTAACGGACGTTACAGACCCACTGCCAACGGCGGTAGCTCCTCTACACCTGCCACCCCTTCTTCTTCTCCTTCTGCCCCCACCTCTTCCGCCGTCTCTGGCTCTTCCCCTGGATCTTCTGCTAGCTCTCCTTCCTCACCTCCCGCCGGCTCTTATGGAATCCGGAACGCACCATTTTCACTAACATCTTTGATTTTTGCTTCTATCACACTGAGCTCGCTCCAGTGGATCGTAATTTGAACACACACGCGGACTGCGATAATAACATACCCTATTCATACCGTACGACTCGATCGTCAGTGCCTTTTGGATTAAATCCACGCCTCTCCCTTGGGAATTTGGCGCCCTCCTACCCCCCATTCAGATCTGCAGAGTCCATATGAAGACTTTACTGCACCCGATCATTCGTATACGCACCAAGACCAGGCAATGGCTATTGTCCAGTGCGACAACAAGATTATATATATCGGTTAAGAGTAACACTCAACCGTTAAACTCGATGTTTTTGCGTCGAGAGTATACAGAATGATGAGGAGGAAGGCAACGAGAAAGCAATGTTTCCTTCATTGCTCGAAGAAATTTGCATTAGATTACCCGGGACCTTGGATAAGAAGACGACTTATAAGTCAAACAGCCCTATTTTCATTTGTTGGAGATGTAAGAGTAGTTTGACCCTTAGAACATTGTGGGGTAGCTGCGGTTCATCGCCGCGCTTGGTACCACTTTATACCAAAAGTGGTAAGGTACTACTGTAATGGAGGAACATATAATACATAGATAGCACTGCTAGTGCTTATGGAAAGCATCTAGAATATATACTGTGCACACTCGAAGTAATACGGTTTTTTATGTTGCAATCATTGTGCAGACATTGTGCGGACCTATCACTTCTACAGTGTGACGACTTGGGGCTATAATATGTAGATTTCATTTTTTTTTCTGTGGGTGCAAGTTGCGAAAATACTCTTCTTGATTTAGCAGAGATAGTTACATGCAATGTCTATCTCGCCGGGTGCACTGGAGCGGATGAGTAGCAAATGTTGTCGAATCGAGGATTGGCTGCAAACAGTAGACACCTCAGACGCCGCTTCCTCCTCTAGTCTTACTACGACTTCACGAGAGTGTGATGGCTCACATGCCTTAATTGCACCACTCGATGCTCACCCATTGATTTCACTCGGGGCTAACAGCACTACTAACTCTTGTACAAACAACGACAAACATCAGCCTTTTGCTAAAACACAACCCCATGAGTCTCAATTGCCATTCATGGCGTTTCCTGTAGACTACATGCCCAAGGTACCGCGCTACTACGCCACCGCCCTATCGAAGGAGGACAAGCATATCCTCATTCACGGCGAAGAGAACCACAATCTCAAGCAATGGACAGGCTGGGATCTAGTCCGACATCACGAATCTCGCAGAAGCCTCAATCCCCAAGTAATGCCCAAAGTCGAAAAGATGAATGCACTTGCCGATATCGAGCACGGCAAGCAATACAGCCAGCGTGCGATACCGAAAGCGAAAGTGAAAGACAAGGTGCTAGACAAGGTGCGTGGCCTATTCCGCGTACCGCGTATCAAAATTACAACTGACAAAGGCAAGGAATACCAAGAGTCAACCTGCACACAGTCGACTCACGGCCAGCGTTCCACTAGCTCATCGCCCTCAAGGAGTCTATCAACCTCATCCCTCGCACTCGATAATAACGCAACAGAGCACTCCTCACCACGACACCCCCGCCCAAGCAGCAGCAGCGACTACTTCTCGCACCGTCCCGCGCATCGAACTTCCTCAAGCAGCTACCATCGTCGCATATCCCCCCTCGCACTCTCCCCGGGCCATCCCTCCGACTCCTCGCGCGTGCGCAGCCCACTATCCCACCAAGTCTCGTTCCAGCCAAACCCAGACATAACGTTTGATACCTTCCTTGCACCGCACAAGTCTGGTAAGGGCGAGGTGCTGCATGAAGTGGCGGATGCGAAGAAGAGTGGAGCAGCGAAAAAGCTGAGCAAAATGCCGTCTATGCCGCTGTTGAGGAAGCGGGATGGAGATTGATTAAGGTGTTTTGCTTGGATTAAATGGTTTGACGGGGGTGTTTGGATGTTTGGAAATGCATTTTACATGGGGAGGGCTGAATAGGCAAGTTAGACATATAGACTTGGCTGCGACAATGCATTGAAACTTTGATACTAGTAAAGTATACTACTAGTGGCCGCGAGGTACCCGGGTTTTCCTTTTTTTTGTTTTATTTTTGTTTCGTACTTTGTGAATGTCGAATGGCGAGGGCTCGTTTGTTATAACGTACATCCCTTCGTAACGGAACAACCGCCGTAACGGACAAAATTGCAGGTACTTTGACTTTGCAGCAACATCATAGCCTGCAGCCATCCTAAAAATCATGTTGGCCTGCCTAAGTATATACTAGGGTTGATTCTGAGTCGATGCATGCCTACTAATACAAAAATTACAGTTGTGTAGATACCTTCCCTACAGATATGCGAGGACACCTGCTTCATCTCAATCATGCGCCTCACGAGTTATGAGACCACTACTATTAGTTCTATCCGTCGCAACGTATCTGTCGCTTCTGTATACATCCAGGTATTTAATAGAATCGTCCAAGCCTGCTCACCAGTGGTAAGGGCTGGTCAGTGAACTGATTCGTGCGTGATCGTCACACGGCCTGGTACCTCTGTATCTGATGCACCAATCAGCAGTGCTGACATAATCTCGATTGCTGAGCTAGTCGAATAGCGTCGATGCGGGGCGCGCCGAGGGCATGTGACATAAATACGCGTCGCGTGCACGCGTCGAGGCACGTTCCCATTCCTCACAAAGCTTTATCCCGCCATACGACGACAGGACTTTTGTGCACAATGACGGCTCCGACGACATTGTGGCGAGTTATATATGATGGCTCTCGCGCTCGATACAACAAGGGAGAGGGTATATAGGCGGAGAACCAAGACAGCGGCATCACTTTTGATTCGGAGGATGACGCTCTGAGTTGGGTGTTGGGAGGCCATCTCATTTGGAAGCTCAGACGCGCTTCTCCCTTCATTTCAGCGTACAGTAACAGACGTGTAGCGTGGAAACAAGCAGAGCAGCGTGTTAGAGAGAGAAAGAAGAATGTAACTATCTACGAGATCGATGTGTATGCTAGTAATAGGCGTGTGAAGTATCGCAATGTTAGATGTCTAGCCGATAGGCTAGGCATGGATATCCCCGCACGTGCACTGCACCACTCGAAGCACGAGTATGTTTTCCTCGGCCATATTCCGGATAGCGCAATCAAGGTCTACTACAAACTTTAGGGTGTCGTGGCCCTGCGAGAATTGTGGTGGCGGTGGTAGGATGGCAGTGGGGTATAGGGCTGTAGTTAACGTCCATCCCTGTGGGTCGAACATCCCTCCGCAACGAACCACCAACATTGCTCAAGCACGTTGTGCCTAAGCCGCAGAGACTATTAGATAGAATTACATCTTTGTATGCTCTTTAGATCTATATCTATCTATAGTAAGCCTTAGATAGCAAAATTATAATAATTTAAAGTACGTACGTGAATCTTGCGTGTTAAGCGTAGAAGCTGTAATAATAATATACCCCTATTCTACCTCTTACAGAAGCTATACTAGCCTATTTAGAGACCCTATACAATATATAATAAACTAAAGAACCTTTATATATCTTATAAACACGTGCAGCCTCTGTTCAGGTGCACTCTAAATTTTTTCGTCTTATTATGTTAGTCCTCCACGTTTAGCGAGAGGATTTGGAACACTGACATAGTAGAATTGCGAACGCTTAGCGGCCTCTAATGTACACCTGTGCTATGCTAAAAGAGCTGAAAGTGTGGCGCAGAGCTCTGGAAGCTTCTACTGGGTGCTGCTCAAGCGCGCAGTGGCTAGCTATTCTTAGGAGCCTACTGGTTGTGGATTCCGTTGGCCTCGCGGCTTTCCATCAGCTAGATAGAAAGGGTATTTTAAGTTAAATTTAAACCTAGTTAGATATTGTTCACAGGTGTTGCATTTGCGTAACTGCTTTCTCCTTCTCCCTGTCGTAACGGACAAGCTTCAAACGGGTCAGTGCTTGGACCTCTCCCAACAGCGCCAAGGGCCTCACGTCCGCAGCTTTCGATGCAGACGTGCTTCAGCCTCGCGAGCAGAGCACGGCGCCTGCATGGAGCTACGCCTGACTTACTACCCTGCCTTGGGCTTCATGTAAGCTGTATCACCAAGCCAAGAATACAACGAAAGTCGACATCCTCAGCTCGCGACATCTTTGATGGATTGCAGGGTCCTGTTAGTATCTGGGCTGGTGCACCTACCACGATTCACGATGGCTTCTTTGGATCTGGATGCTCTCTATTTTCTATACTGTATCAAGATGGTACAGCAGTACGATGCTGCGCTACTTCTATTCCCGCAATTCTCCATGTACTTCTGTTAGTAACGATCTTATACGCAGTAAGCAGAAGCCTAAGTTTACACTTAAGAAAAGGAGATGGTTTACCCGCGGATGGACACTGCAAGAGCTCGAAAAGACACAGAAGCGGAACGTGCTAAAGAAACTAACGTTATTCTCGCCTAGATTAGGCAACTTGTACAAGCGGATGATGCAGAAAATGAGCGAGTCTAATGACGCCGCCGTCTATCGCTGTGTGCTGACTTCTTATTTGTATCGAAATGCGCCACACTCGATACAATTATATATATCTGGGGTCTGTCAACAATGAGAACGGGAATTCAGAAGCTAGAGACTTACAATCATCCAATGTCCATTTGTGTAGAACATACACGCGGACGTATGGACGCACCAAGGTTGGAGTCATCACAACAGGGAGGCATATCAAAGCCGCAATGATAATGGGACACCCATAGAATTTGCGCTTTGGGATGTCGGGCACAACACTCTGGTGAACACGACAAAGGCCAAGTTCTGCTTCATCACGAACAAACAGGTGGCTATACTAATGTAATATTTTCTAACAAAGCGTACATTTGCATCGGTATATCCGCCCTAGTAGTCGTCATTATTCCTGACTTCGTACCTCAATAAAATCCCACACAATCTCCTCAGAACTCCAGTCCATATTAATCTTGATCTTCTGCTTGATCCCATTCTCCGATTCATTTCCGTATACACCCAAGGGACGAAGATTCTCATCGTGAATTACTAGCAGAACGCATCCACCTTCTGGGCGCATTCGGGGACATATGTATTCGTTGTTTCGATGATGAGGAGATCTACAAAACAGAAGTCCATGTTCATGATAACCAAGATATTGCGCAGAAGCTGGATCCTTAAACCCTATCCAACCTTTCTCCTCGACGCATCGCCACCTGAATGTACCAAGCCCTCCTAGTTTGTCCATCACGACCTCGCCATCTAAGAACGTGATAACTTGTCCGTTCTTGCGAGATCGAATGATGAAGGTTCGCCCAGGCCATGGGATGGAAGATTGCGGAATTTCACTACTCAAAGTGCTTTTTGTGGTATTTTCAGAAGATGCAGAAGGTGTGCAGATATGCCAAGTTTTGGACCCAATAATAGAAGGAGCTACGGGCTGATTGTGCGCCATATTGTCGACAACTGGTTTTGATGATAGTTTGCTATGTGCGGGAACTAAGGTGTTTAGAAGGAGGTTAGAGGAAAGATGTACTTTTGAGGGATTTTTTATGAATGTCGCACAGCCCAGGCGGGCAGTTGAGGCACAGTCGTCATACACTCGGGTGCATCAAGTACTTTCATTGGTGCTACTCATCTCGCTAAAGTGGAGCGGCGAATCAACGCATGTTCGTTAGAATTGCTTTAGCGCTGGCCTTGCGCCAATCATCGTAAGGCTACGATTAGGAAGAGTCCGGCTTTATCAGGTGACTTAGGCAAGGAACAGTAGATAAATTGTTAGAAGTTCCGTGTAAATCTATGTAATTATCTTTATGTTTGTTAAGAATGTCGGGGCTATACAATATTTGTTTCACATATAGTTGACAAGAACCGCGAGAAATTGATACTCAATCGACTTGTAAGAATAGTAGCTAGCAAGCAACCTGTTACACGGGGTTGTGTGCTGATACTTCTCTAAGCTCGATCCGGGTTAGGGCGAGTAGGATAATGTGAATAGCTCTGTGAGTGTTTGTTTGGCGATGCAGTGGAGTTGGCGTGCTTATATAGAAGGTAACAAAAGGTTCGATAAATCTAATCTATTCGATAGACTAACATGTATCAATCTTATAAAGTAAAGTAACTAGTAAGAAAGTACAATTTGAGATGACTACAACGAGAGTAATAATGAAATCCATCCATCCTTATATCCTCATTGCCTCCAGTCCTGCCATCCCATCCATCCCATCTTGGCGGGATGTCACATCAAGTGACTCCGAGCCCCGCGATGATCATTACCTTCTGACGTGGACGTCCCTAGGCCTTCAGCCATCTCATCACTTGTCAAGGAGATAATCCTTCTTGTTACTTGTAACACAACCGTGCGTCGAAGTGACGGCCGGACGAAGCCTCTCGAGCTTCGTGCCACAAGTTGAGCCGTTTTGGTATAGCGCAAGTGTACGTTGCAGGCCGCTAATTGTTCTAAACCTATTGTGTCAGCACGCAAAGTCCTTTCGCGAAAAGCGAACGAAAGTTACAGCAGGCCGGATAAACTCAGAGTGTATCTACGCAGAGGCTATATATCTTTATTAAACATCTAGAACTTTATTTGTTTATTGTAAGTTATAGTTATAAGACCGCTAAATAAGCAGGCCGCATTTCTATAAAATGTAGAACAGTGGTGTACTACTATTGCAGCTTTAACGCTTAACATAAAAGATTCGTATGAGCCCCTTAGATTATTGTAATCTTACTATTTAAGGCTTATAATAGATAGAGATAGATCTAGAGAGTAAGCAAATGTGTACTTAAATCTAATTGTCTCTGCGACTTGGGCAGAACATGCTTGAATGATATTGGTGGTTCGCTGCGGAGGGATGTTCGGCCCACAGGGATGGACGTTAGTAGTCATTTGTTGTGACTGCACCGCAACTGGGGTAGAGTAGGATAGGCTTGGCAAATCGAATCATGTAGTTACTAGGGTTAATTCCAAGTCGATGCATACCCACAAATATAAAAATTACAATCGTGAGACACCTGCTTCATCTTAATAATGCATTAGTTAATGAGCAGTGCTGACATAGTCTTAATTACTGAGCTAGCTGGATAAAGGTAAGCTTAAAACAGCAAGTCACCTGACGCTCTGAGCTTACTGGATAAGCATCACGGTGATAATGACAACCCACAAGGTCAAGTACGATGGTCAGCAGATACCAAATTAAGCAAAGCGACAGCAAATACAGGAAGATAACTTTGCGCCTTTGACCTGTTTATAGTACGAATAATGCTATGTATGTGTTCCTCTCCTCCTAACCACATCTGGGCCTCGGGCGCTCTCCAGGATTCCAGGATTGGATCGATTGGTGTTTGAGTTTCGGGCGCATCCCGTTCTACACCATCTAGGCTGTGCACTTCTACCACCGTGGTTTCTCGCTTCCTATTACGCCTCCCCGTATTTGCTTGGCCTTGACCGGCCTCTGTAGCTGCTTTTTGTCGACTGCGTTTCCCTTTGCCTTGGGCTTCTTTGGCCTCTTGAGCCACTTTCTTCCTCGCACGATCTGCCCGAACTGTCTCAAGATAATTATAGCTCACTACCCTCCCCTTTCTATCCTTTTCGACTTTCTGAAGGATTTCAGACTTTGTCTTACGGCGAGTCTTGGCTTCGTTGTTCGCATCTTTGAGGATTCTAATATAATTCTGGTCTAGTGCTTGTTGGGCAAACGATCGTTGGGCAGTATTGGCAAGCTTTTGAACGAGTCTCTCGTGACGAGCTTTGCCTCGCTCGTCACCATTATAAGAGCTATGCTTGATCTGATCTAGCAAACCTATCAGGGCCTCTGTAGAGACGGGCGTTACTGGCGTCTGGGTTGTTTCACCCTGCATAGTATCTCCACAATTGTTTTCAACAGCCAGGGGAGCGTCTAGCTTTGTAAGATCACGAAGAACCCTTTCTGGATTGAACGGAAATAGTCTAGTCTTCGCCCAGCCTGCAAGTATGTTCTTCTTAGTTATCGCACTTTCTCTCGCTAGGCTATATATAGTAGTGAAGTGCTCTTTGTTAATATTTGTTAGGCCTCCACGGTAAAGTCGCTCGACCTGATCTCGATATGTAGTCTTTAGTGGGCCGAACACTGATGTATTATATGGCTGTAGCTTGTGAGAGGTATAAGAGGGCAGTCTGTATAGGGTAATATTGGTTTTAAAATAGAACTTAAGAACTTCTAGAGTTTTATACGTACTGAAGCTAGTATAGATTAGTAGGCGCGGTTTATAATTCGCTCGAGCCTTAGTTTGGGGATCGAATACTTACTTTATCTACTTAAGGCTGATAAAGGAGTCGTTTTAACCTAACTTAGATAGGCTGTAGAACTATCTAGGGGTAGGATACGTCGTCTAGTTGTTCCTGTGGGTAGAGGCTGGCTAGATGATTATTAGATTTAGCGACTCACTACTTGCTGATACGTATTCGATAGCGGTTACTATTATCCGCTTAACGCCCGCACCTTTATAGTCTCGTTGGTTATCCTTACCTATAAGGACTTTAATAGTGCCAAGCATGCTCAGCGTGACTCTTGTCTTATCTATATTGTAGACGTTCTCTAGCAGGATATCTGGTCTACGGAGCTCCCTCTTGATTATCTTGAACTAGTGTATAACCTTATTATATATATTGTTATTATGGCTCTCCTAAGCTATTGCTTTGTTGTTCCTTGACTTGATCTTGGGGTGATGGCGGCGGAAGTCTTGAGGCTAGTTCTTGTGTGGCGGGCTGGCGGGCCGATTCGATACTCGTTGGCGGGCGATGTAGAAGGCGAGGGAGGGTATGTACTTAATACGGATTAGGGATCCACTGGCACTCATTTGTAGCAGGAAATTAATAAGGGCTTTCTCCTTGGCGGGACTTAGGTATTGCTGTCTCTTAGCTGTGGCCTTCTTTGAGGGTCGACCTTGATGCTGATAATAAATAGTAGTACGAGGAGCGTTACTATGTCTAGCTTGAGTAGAGATGCTTTTGCGCATGTTGGGAGGTAATTCTAAGGCTAGTGCCTGACTGGCGGGATCTATGGTCGCTGCAGTATGTATTGCAGCTTCCTTACTGAATGTATGTTCTAGTTGTGGACGTTCCTCACGTTCGCGCTAATAATAGAATAAAGAATGATAGAAAGTACTAGAAGTAAGGGTTATATGACTGACTGAGAGAAGAGTCACGTGAATATATATTACAGATGATAAAGCTGGGCTCGCTGCGCTAACCTCTTATCGCGAATCTTGCTAATCGCTCTGGCAACGGAGAAACTTTCTGATCACTACTACAGATTATTATCTGGCATTTTGAGAGAGGAATCTCAAACTGTGATACCTAGAGCATCGCCTAAGATCACTGATAATAAGATTTAGAGTAAAATAGTTGCGTAGGCTGAGGTGCCGGCTGAGGCACAAAATGTCGCTGCTGGCGTACTAACGATATATAGCCACACCACGGCGTATTTTTCTATCTAGATATTACTTATATGTAGGATATATGCAAGTGGAAATAATGAGAGATTTTGACCATATTTCTATGAGTTTCTCCACATTTTATCTACTTGCTTAAGAAATAGTGTTCCGCCACACCAGTTGTTCCGGTGCGAAGGGATGCAGGTTATGCCGTATAGTAGTCGGTGGATGTTGTTGTAATTGTGTGTGGAGCCGGTACTAACCTGACCTGGGAAGTCAGGCACGGCTTGCCCGATTAGGGCAACTATTGCATGCACTGCGGGTGAGGGGGGGGGGAAGTATAACTCAACGTAAGTATTACTTGGGAAAAATAATCTCTCGTTTCTTTATAATAAAGTATATGGTAGCTCCTTATATATTGCATTCACTCAGATAATCTTTCCCTCTATCTATCTCTCTCTGTAAAAAAAAAGAATTCAAGAACTGAAAATCAAGAAAAAAGTGCGTCGTCCAAAATCGACATCTTCACACCAAAAAAATCCCCCCCAACTAATGACTTCTCCCCCCAAAAAGTGTCCTCAGACGCCCTCGTCCCCCTTACCATAATCAAAGGCGCAGGCCACGAATTTATCGCCCTACCCGAAGGCGACAATGCCACTGTCGCAGATTTCCACACGTACTAAAGCCTTTCCCCCTCCCCTTCTTCCCCCAGTCTCTAATCCACACTCAGAACCCACACGCGCACCACCACAACCCCCACAACCCTAACCTCGGGCTTCTACAAAATCACCGCGGGCCCTGCCAAACCCGCCTCGTACACATTTGAAGAATCCAAATACGTGCTCAGCGGACAAATCGACGTGCTGGACTGTGCAACGGGTATCACGCATCATTTGGTAGCGGGGGACTTTGCATTTTTCCACGTGGGGTCAAAAGTCGAGTTTTCGACGCGGAGTGCAGGGATGGCGTTTTATGTTGTTACGAGGGGGGTGCGGGTGGAGCATGCGGGGTTGAAGGGACGGGAGGAGAAGAGGGCGAAGTTGTAAAAGTTTGGGGTTTGTAAATCTTTTGCATTTGGTTTCGAGGTTTGTAAGTAGTAGTAAAGTAGAAGAGGAAAAATGTTGGGAGGGGATATATCCTGAACATCCAAGTTATTTGAAATCGCCGAGCAAAGAAAGAGAAAAGAGGTTTTTTTGCATGAGAAAGAAACAAGAGTACAAGTTGTTGGCCCATTCATGCACACACACACACATACAACCCACCCCCCCAAGTCGCAGCGCCGTTAAACCAAGAAAACCAAAAAAAAAACCAAAGCCGCTACCAGAATCTAATCCACATTTCCACCCCTTCTATCTCTCTCACACACACGCACCTCCCAAAACAAACAAGTAATCCAAAAAAGAAGAAGAAAACAAAAACAAAATCAAGCCCCAACACCAGGGATACTAACACCCCCTGCCGCTAAATTCAGACCTCCGCCTCTACTCCTCGGCCCCACAAACCCTTGTCTCTGTCGACCCGTACGACCTCTACCCAGCCAATTATACTTGAGTTCTTTATTCAGCCGCCCAATCTTTTCCTGCGCATCATCGCTACTCTGCAGACTGACGAGTACAGAGACGCATTGAAGCATGCGGCCCACTGTCTCGGTAACTTTAGTGCTGTCCATGGGCTGTTGACGGAGCGCAGCTGGGGGCATGTTTTGGGTGTGCGAGGTAGGCGGGGGATACAAGTGGGCGACTGTCGGGGGATGTTGTGAGGGATTCGAGGAAAAGGAGCCGGCGGATGTGTTGGATGTTGCGCGGGAGCGGGTGCTGGCAAAGGTTGAGGAAGTGATGCTTGTGGTTGATTCGAGGTAACCGCCACTACTCTGGCTAGTAGAGTTGAGACTACTCAGTTGTACATCGTTTGCGCTTCCGGCGGTGCCAGGACGGGTATCGTGGGGTATAGGTGAGGGCGACTCGAGACCTGCGTTTAGGTTTTCCAGCGAGAGTCGTGAAAAGATTGCCATGAGCGCTTCATAGCGCGGTAGAATGACGATATCGCGGAACATGAGAAGGGTCATGCGGCGGACTTCGAGTTCGCCGAGTATGGGTATATTCTTATGATTTGGGCTCTTGGTGTTCATTTCGTCAGGGAGCATGACGCCCCAGAATTCGGCCGCTTGGGCCGATGTCATGATGCCAGAGCCTCTAAACTCCATGTCCAGAGGGAGAAAAACAGCCTGGAGAAAAGGTAGTATGGTGGTGAATACAACAAGCCACATCTCAACGAGATGCGGAATCAACCTGTCATCAGGAACATGTCGCAGGGTTTGGTCCAATGAGCCAAAGCCAGTTTGAAGAAGCTCATTGAGATCTTCAATAAGAATAATAGGAGAGCGCTTGTGGATACAGCGCTTAATGTGAACAGTGACTAGAGCGTTGAAATCTTCAACAGGAGGCCGCGGGTCTTCGCCTTCAAATATCAACAACACCCTTGCTTTCAACAACGGCCACGCATCGTCCGGCGACAAACCGTGTATACCAAATGCGCTCCCCAAATGAGACATTTCCGATGTATGTGATAGGGCCTGTCCAGGGGTAGAGAGATTTGATGTCGTCGTTATGGTGCCTGCTAGCAATGGCCACTCGGATCTTTCTATGCTGAAAGACTGGTTGCGCTCTCTATGCGGCGGCTCCAACTGCGCATCCAAAAATGCCGCCGCCTTTTCTTCCTTCTTTGCCCGTCGCAAGTGACGTCCGCCGTGCCTTAGATCCAAGCCCGTGACCGAACTCGCAAATGTACTCGAGTGTCCTGGCGATGAGGGCGCTGCGAATGAATACAGGGGTTCGGGCGCACTTGGGTTAGTGGGCTTGGAATTACTGCTGGCTGACGAGAGAGGAAGAGCAAAGCTATCTCCATCTTTCAGCTTATGTTTTTGCCGCGACAAGAAATGATGCTTGTGCTTTTCCTCTTTTCGTTCAGGCAAGGAGTCGTTTCGCGGAGGAACAAGAGTGGATGTGGACGCGTTGGCCGAAGAGTAGAGTGAAGCATTGGCACTGGTTGTGGACGAGTCGATCAGACTCGTCGTTGAGCCGGCCATCATCATGCGGTTCAGGGCCTGGGAGCTGTGAATGCCAATGCCAATCTTGCCAGGCGAAGGTAGGGCCTGGTGCTTGCTCTCTCCGCGATTGTCGACCTTGATGTTCTTGGGCTTGGAAGAAAACAGCTTCATCTTGCTCTTGCCTTCCTTTGGCTTCTGCGAGGACAGATCTGGTGTTGACGCGGGCTTGGGCGAGGCATGGGCCTGAGCCTGGGCCTGGGCCTGGGAACCCTCGACCCCAGGAGAGTTCAGCGGGCTTCGTGGAAAGGCAGCATTCGCGGCCGTGGTGGCCGTCATTCTACTTGCGGCGACAGGGTTTGGATAAGTGACGCCATTGGTGCGGAAGGTCATGCCCTGGGCAGGGGCGGCCGGGGGACTCTGGGGCTGAGAGCGTTCCGTGGGCGCGGCGTCTGAGGAGGCGGGGATGGTGGTGGAGCGCTTGCGGTAATGCTGGGGATTCTGGGCGTATGCGGCTTGGGCGGCGATCTGCGAGGCAGTGAGCTGGCTCTGCGGGGCCATGGCGGCATCCCTCTCGCGCACCGGGCTCTCCTTCATGGAGCTCAGGCTGGGCTCGAAGTAGCCCTGGGACCGCTGGCGTGGCCGGTGGCCTAGGTGCGCGCTGGCAGCGTGAGGCTGGCTCGGGGCAGCATCGCGCGTAATGGCGGGACGTGAATAGTTGTGGGCAGGGAGCTGGCCAGCAGTGCGCGACTCTGTTGTAGATGTGGGCGACTTGAGCGACGAGGGCGAGAGGACCGAGGCGGGCAGGGGAGCGCGTCGCTGTTGTTGCTGCTGCTGGGTCGCGTAAGGGCCGTCCGAGTCGGACTCGTCGAGAGAGACGGGGCGGCGGACAATGGGCGTTGCTGGCGGGGGAGAAGACGAGGGCATGGTGGGCGGCGATAGCAGCGGGTGGGTTGCTTTTGCGACCCTGTGGCTGCTGCGGCTTGCAGGGAAGGTCAGGTAACGGCAACGGCGTATGGCGTGGATGCAGATGCGCGAATGGATGCTATACGGATCGATGTCGAGGGAGGGCGCCTGGCAATCGGAGCTCCTATTCCAGCGCTCGCATGGCCGGCATGGGGACGGGGAGCGTAGCAGATGCAGGCGGTGCCGTGTGCCAGCAGCATCGAGGGGACGGGAAAGCAAGTGGGTGGGTTAGCAGAACAGTCGACGTCGATTCACACTCCCGTTGTTCCATGGCCCGCTAGCCCTCCACTCACACACGCACACGCCCCGCCCTTGGCCGTGTCATTCTCCTCCTTCACCACCAGCACCACCTCCTGCACATATCCCTCCCCCCCGACATCAAAAATGCCCGCCCTCACAGCAACCTACGCCTCTCCCACGTCCCCTTCCCACTCCTTTTCCTCCGATCTCCCCGCCCTGGCTTCACCACCCTCGACTGCCGACCGCGTCGCATACCTGGCTGCGCTCGCATCGGCGATGAAAGCCATGCAAAAAGATGTCAACGATTTCCTCACCCAGAAAATGGCAGACGACAAGGCTGCCGACGATGCAAAGGACGAGGAGACGTATGGTGAGGAGGTGGTCGACGACGACTGAGCCCGCACACAAACATATCCAAGACAATTGCTATTCGATTCATGGGTATATACTATCCATACAGGCCTTCCACACGCCATCACCGCCATCCCGCCGCCCCGGTCGTTCTCTTGCCCACGCTGCCCCGCATGCACCCGCTGTGCACCACGCTGTTGTCTGGGAACACGCGAATCGCACTTCCACCAAACCGCTTGTGGCAGACGGCACAATGCCGGTCCTCGTCAATCACCACTCGTCTGTTCAATCCACCCGGCACTTTGCGTCCGTACTGGTCCACCTTGTTGTCGTTTCCAAGTAGCATTGCTGCCTCGACTGCCACCTTTTCCACCCCCCGCAGCCGCGAAACAATGCGCTCTTCGTTGAGAAGCGAGTTCGCATTGCGGATCCGACCAAAGAAGTACGACTCCAAGTCTTTGACGGGCAAACTAGGCGGGATCAGGTCCAGAGTTGTCGCTGCTGGGAGTCGTGCGCCGTGCTTAGAGAGCAGTTCGAGAGCAGGAGGCCAATTGGGTTGGTGCGGAGGTGGCGGCGAAAGATACAGGGATAGGAGCACGTGATATATCGACAGCTCAGTGTCTTCAATCGTCCCTTGAATGTTTGATCCAATTTGTGGTGATCCGATTTTTGGCGATTGGTTGGATGGGAGAGACGATGGTGATGCTGTGTAGACTTGGTTGCAGTATCTACAACATGTTTAGTTTTTTGTAGTCATTGCAAGTTCCATATCTAGGCTTACTCCTCGGCTTTCTTGTAGTCCTTCAGCTGGAACACATAGATTGCCAGTGCTTGTTTGTGCGATCCCATCTTGCTCAACACAATGGCGCGTGCTTCATAGTAATCCGCATCTGATCGTTCCTGTCAGTCTCTGTGCATCCCATATCAATTTCCCAACCACAATACATACCGTTAGCTGGAAGCTGCTGGAACACACGATACCGGTTGTACTGTGCATTGCCCCTCTTCAAAAACGTCTGCAATCTCTCCCTCCAATCCGCCTTCTCCTCCTCGTTTGCGAAATCCCCACTCTTAAGCCTTTCCAGCAGCAAGTCGACCAGCCGCTGGTGAAAGTCGACATTGAGGTCGTTGAGCTCCTCGATAATATGCTCCAGATATCTAACCGCCAGTTTGAGATCAATCTTTTGCAAGAACTCAAGAACCCGGTCTCTCGGCAGCGTCTCCGCGTTTTCCGTATCCGCAAGGAAGACTTCCATCCCGAGCTCGGGATTCACTCGTAGCGGCCATTCAGCATACTCGAGAATAAGATCAATCAGCTCTGGAGGCAGCGCCTGTAGGTAGCCCACCGTACGTTGTGGTCCCTGTAGCGCAGACGAAACCTCCTCGTCCGCCTCGTTCTTGCCAAACTTCTCCAGCAACTCCAGTGCTTGTCGATGCAGCTTCTTGCCGTGCAAAAAGTCAATCAGATCCGCGTACCGGCCCGTCTCGTACAGCTTCTCCTGGACGACATCCGGCTCGCAAAAGTTGGGCAGGCGGAACAGCGAGCCTGCTACACTGGGATTTGCAATCATGTATGCCCGGAACAGTGTCGTGTCTACCAGCTGCGCCACTTCAAGCAGTTTGGCCTTCCAGTCTACCGGGCCCTGCAGTGAAGTTTCTTCGATGAAAATGTGGAAAGGCGGCTTCTCAGCCTCCAGTTGGCTACCGCTAGGCGTAGGCAGGGGCTCTTTCAAGTTCCCCTCTGTGTCAATGTAGCGCTTAATTTGCACACGGCATTGTGTAAGGAATGACTGTAACGCACGTACAGAGTCTTTGAACTCCTTCTCCGACACTGCTTTGTCGGTCTGTGCTGGATCTGTTGTCCTCTTCTTGATACTACCCTTTTCCACTGCTGCCTCTTCTTTGACAGCACCAGCCCGGATAGAGGCAGTGTCTGAGTCGACCTTCTTGTGCCCACCAACACCAAATCGGCCCATCATCGACCGCCCAATCGTTGCTGCAGCAGGAGCCGTAGTTTCTTCAGCTTCCTCTGCAGGCTTCTCCCCGTTTGTTTCATCCTCCTCTGTAACGCTTCCATCGCCCTTGACGCTCTCCTCCGGCGCCAGGTTTCCAGCAATCGATCTTGGATACAGAGCAATGACGCGCTCAGGCGGTGCTTTTGCGTCAATGAAGAGCTCCATTGCCTCGCGGTACTTTTTCAGATCAAACAATGCTTGTGCTTTGAGTATCTGAATCTCCCGTATTCTTTCTTCTTTGTCCAGAAGCAGAGTGTCTTCGAGCATATTGAGAAGACTCAACGCCTCGTCATAGCGTCCATTAGCGACTAGTTCATCAATCTGCGTCTCATAACTCTGCGCTCCCATTCGCCATATGCATCGATCACTGGCGACCAAGAAACCTTTACCCGCATGGGCCAGACTAATGTTAGGTTGGGGTACATGGAGGAAGTTGGCGTTGGGCAATGGGATGAGTTGTAGCAAGTTAAGTGTATCCGGATTCCTGATTTCCAAACTTCCCTTTGAAGGCGGTTGGAGGGTAAGCATGTATGGGTACGAGTAGGCAATAGTCTCAGGGGCAGTTTGCCAGGGCACCTGCCGCTTGTCAAGGGCGTTGCCATCCGTGTCGATAAACAAGCTGTTGACATCCTTGGCCAACAGCATCTCCCCCTCTCCAAGTCGTGTTGCCAGAGGCTTCGGTACCCAGCTGCCCATGCCCATGTATCCCATGCCCGAAGATGATACTGCGCCAAAGCGCGCCCCGCCCTGACTTCCATTCTCTGCAAGTGCACCTGGCTTGATGATGTCTTGTACCTCTTGTGTCTCAATATCGACCATGACGAAGCCGGGGTCCATGCCAGCGACAATTTTGGTGCCGGTAGCCCACGTCAAGCTCTTGACCGACGCAATCAGTGATATCTCCACGGCATCACCCGTCAACTCCATGTCCTGCCACGTCCATAGTATAATCTTTCGCTTCACCGCAACAGCCAAATGGCTCACAATCGACGGGATCCCAGTCGATGGATCCTTGACAATGTTGCTAGCCGCAGCAAACGTAGTGGCGCCTCGTGTCTTCTCCAACTTCTCCTGCAGCGCATACGTTTGGATGTCGTGTATCGAGACATAGTTGTCCGACAGCGAGACGAGAATGTTGGCTTCCTTGATGATGGCTAGCTGCTGGATGGGCCGGCGCGAGAACTTCTCTTCTTCGCGGAGAAGGTCCGCAGGCTTGGGCTTCGGTGTCGGGGGCTGCTGCGGTTGGCCGTTCTGGCCACCATTCTGCTGCTGCTCGGCTTCGACGTCTTCGGCCTGGTCGTTTACGCGGTATATGCGCAAGGAACCCGTGTTGAGTCCAACAAGCACGCGATCGCCTTGTATTGTTAGCCAAGTGGACCAAATGCTGTATAGAGGCACGCTCTACCATATGCGAGGATCGATTCGATCTTGGACTTGTCGCGCTGTTTAAGCTCGACAATAGGCCGGGCAGTGAAGGCAGAGAGCATGGTGGCTATTATTCCAAGGGTTGATTCATTGGGCCCGGATGTTGTCGCTGCTATGCGACTGCTGTTGCGCGCACCGAGAGCTTCATGGGCAGTGCCGGCGTGCGCCTGAGCTGGGCGGTCCATCGTCATGGCCACGGAGCTTTGGCCAGGGTCCAGCCACGTGCAGCCACATCACTCGAGCATACTACGTACACACCGGGTCCTGTTCCGATAGCTGATTGAATAGAATCTAGAAGTATAACAAAGAAGGATAATTTTGAGACCAGATACTTGTATTGGTATTCTACCTAATCTAACTAAGGTGCTCTGCCCGATTAATGGGCATAGTAGAGCGGCGAACAGAATGAGAGTGGGTGTTGCTGCATGAGCGAGTGTGGATATGTGTAAAGTGACTTTAATCAGAAACTCTGGAGTACACGATGAAGGAGAGCATTTGCCATTCTATATCATCTCCTCCATTTTCACACCCGCTGACACGCCACTCGAGTGGGCACATCCAAGGGCCATTCGCCGCCACCGCCGTCCCTAAAACGCATGCATAAACAAGTCCCGGGCGCAAGCGCCTCACAGGATCAACTCAGGCGGCGTTCAAAAGAACGCAAAAACCAACCCTTCATCCAGAGGGACGAGGATGCTTCCACCCGTACACAAACACAAAAATGTCGACTTTCAACGTCAACACATTTCCCCAATCTCCCAACGCGGTCCTCTCGAAAAACATTGAAAGTAAGGAAAATGGGAGGAAAGCACAACGCTTGTTACCAATCAGCACATCAACCTCTCTCTTTCTCCCCCCAGCAACAGCCGCAAGCAACGGGTGCAAAGCATACAAATTCCAGAAGTGGGCCGGTGGGTTGAATGGGAGAGAGAGAGGCGTGGCGAATGAGCGAGTCATATCCAACATATTGCCGGATCATATTCAGCACACATCGCTACTCTATTGCGTCTTTGGACGACAACACCATGTACGCCAAGAGGTCACCTGTGCAGCGCGGCAAGCGGGCAAGCCACGGCGAGGCGCGTTGCGGCGGTGATGCAGCGTCGAGGCGTAGCAATGTTGGCCAAAGGAAATAGAAAGTAGGAGGGCTGAACAGAGAATCGGGCGTAAGGGACCTCGGGAACAGACATACTCAAGGAGATATGCACAAACCTCATCATTTGATGGAAAGACACTGCAGACAACGCACATGTAGTCTCAGGAGACAAGGAGACTGCATGTAGGGTTGACGTAGGGATGGTCATCTGCAGAGCTTCACTGTCAAACTTCGCGATGAGGGGATATCGATCCAACGCGCAGCCCGCAAGAGAGAGCAGTAACACAAGACAAATAAACACAAAGAAATACATATTGGTTGGGTATTGTGAAAGAAAAAAGAACCAAAATGTGAAATCAAAAACACCGACACATGCGAGCGGAGAAGCAAGCTTCATCAACGCAAAAACATGTGCCCAAACCCCTTCTCTGGAGAGCGTTTCCGCATCGTCACGGAGAAGGGGGAAGAAAACTTCAATCGCAAGTTACGGTCTGAGCAATTACGGCTCATCGCAGGTCGGTCAGGTCGATGATTGTCTAGTAGCGTGTCCAGCCTTGGACCGGTTGACTCAGAAGGCAAGCCGAAAGGTCAGGTGGTTCAAGACTGGGGTACTGTTATTCGACAAATACGGATCTTAGATGAACGGATTCTGCTGCTGCTTTTCCTGTGGATAGGGCGACGGCGCATATTGATTCGAGAAGGGACCAGTACGGTCGTCAGCAGGCGAGGGATCAGCAAGCTGTCCATGGCTACTCGTGCGCAAGTGGCCTGGTCGCGCCGATTCAGTCACCGCATGTGCACCAACACGGCCGACCTTTTCTGTTGTAGGCTCAACACGACTTTCTTGGTCGAATGTTGAAAAAGGCCGGGGTGCAAGCGTATAGGGCGCTGTCTTGTTGACATTGTAGTCATTGGGCACATATCGCGGTGGCGCGGTAGTAGGGTAATCGGCAGCAATCTTGGACTCATGGTCCATGGCAGGGTTGACAGCATAAGGGTTGCGTCCTGTTTCTGAATAGTCGCGACGGAAGAGATGGGTTGAGGCGTAGACGAGACCGCCGATGGCTACAAAAAGCCAGATTAGAACTAGGGCGGTGGAGATGAGCGCTTCAGTCTGAATGCCGCTCATGAGCTTGGCGATAACGCGCTCAACTGATTCAGTGATCTCATCCTTTGCTTTGCCACTGGGGTCAGCAAGAAGTTCGGAGGCCGAGTCTGAGTCGCCCTTTTCGGCAAGGGCACCAAGAGAAAAGGTGTCGTTAGCGACGCCAGGGAACTGGACGTGCGCGTTCTCTTGTACCCAGGTGAGGCCGCTTTGGAAGCTCTCGATCTTCAGCCCAATCAAGCAGTTGAGTACTTCTTTGATGGGGTCATAAAGCACAGTGCCTCCGAACGTGTCGTTGAGCGTGGTGCTCATCTGGTCGACGAATGCATTCAAAGTATCATTGACTGCAGTCGTACTGGTGTTGACCCAAGAAAAGATGTCGTCATTGATTTTGCTATCCAAGTTACCAACGGCACTGTTGACACCGCTGGACCATGCAATGGACGCATTGTTGAGCGAAGAGACAACTTTTCCGGCAAAGTCGGCGACTTGATCCGTGAGTTCTGGGGTCTTGTCCTCGATGGCCTTGAGCAAAAGGTATTGACAGAAGCATGCAAAGAGACCAGCGAGACCCAGAGATAGCAGAAACAGCATGGGGACAGAGGTGGCGTACGCCCAGGCCCAGCGCATGACAGCTTGTCGACGAGCTGAGCCAAAGCGCCTACCGAACCATAGGCCAATGCCGGAAGAAGTTGGGCGGGACGCAAGATAGACGACGTCCATGCCTTCGTGGCCCTCTGCGAAGAGGGCAGCACGCTCTTGCATCTTCCGGTAGCGGCGCATTTCCATCCAAGCCATGGGTGCGCAAACAAGGACAGCAGCAACAATGAGCACACCAAGAGCGATCTTCCGTGCATTGTAAGCCAACTCAATGAGATCATCGAAAAAGTTATTGATTGAGTTGCCCTCGGAACAGAAGGTGAGTGCCTCCTTTTGCGGCACTGGAAGATCGGAACGGTCGAACTCGAATGTGTTCATGCCCCTAATCAACTTCTTGACTTCCTCAAAAGGGGTGCGGATAACGTTGTCGGTAAAGTTTTGCACCTCTTTGAAAGTAGGGATTGACTGGTTGAGCTTCTTGAGGTTCTCTGCCATGTCGGGAGATAGCTCAAGGCTCTTTAGCTCTTTGATTTGCTCGTCCAGGTTGATTGTCGGTTTGCTGAATCCCGGAATGTTAAAGTTGATCTTGTCCATGATGGAGTTGATGCCGTCGGAAACGGACTTGACAGCGTCGCCCATGTCTTCGGTGACCGAGTTGATGGTCTCGTTCAATTTCTTGTTGACAGCCTCGCCGATTTCGACAGCGGCGTGCAGGCTGCCACTGACGGCAAGGGTGATGAGGCAGAGATAGGTACTTGTCATCATGTGAATAACGAAGAGGACAATCTCTTCGACACCCGTGACTGTCATTTCGAGCATCGTCATGAGGCCACTGACTGCCTTTTCAACTCCAGAAGCCGTCATTTCGTTGAGACCGGAGGACATGTAGTGGGGCATCGAGGCCATGGAGCTGCCAATCTTCTCGACTTGGGTGCAAGCACTGAGGGCTTCCCGACGAGCGGAAACGAGGCTTGAGTCAGTGGTTGCGATGGCGATGAGTAGTCGCACAAGGACGAGGAGCAGGAGAATGGTCCAGCGGTTGATCCATATCTGGGAGAGCCTAGCTCGAAGGCCGAGGTATGGTTTGAAGTTTGGTGTTTGGTTTATTGTAGGTCGTGGTGCATCTTGCGGTGGGTAGTAGTCTCGCATCTCATGACTATCGCCAGCGGACATTGATGGAGGCACAGGTGGGAAGGGTTGCTGTTGGTTCGCGGAGGAAGCCATAGCGAACATGTATGACTGCGAAACGCAGGTCTGGTTGAGATATTAGAATGGGAAGAGGCTCGTATGGCTGGTGGGTTGGAGAGCAAGATGGACAAAAGCGCCGTTGTTGTTGATGTAGGCCAGCTAGATCTTGAATATCTACCACAGGTAGGTGGCAAGGTAGAGAATGGAATTAGGTGGAAGTGATGAAATGTAAGACAATAGAGAACAACAGAGAAGGAAAAAAAAGACCAACGCTCCGTACAATGCAATAAAGGAAACGGAAGATGAATGGGTGATGGGTGAATGTGGGTTTGGTAGAAAGAGACGGAGCGAATGAATATCTACTTGACAGTGACGAGAATGAACGTACCTCGAGAGAGCGAGGACCAGCAGCAGGCCCCCGACCGGGTACCAATGGCACGGCGAGAAGAGGCCTGCACGACCAGAATGTTTCGGCAGAGCATACAGGCTGCTGAGGCTCAAGTTAGAAGCAGCACTTGTCGGTAGGGCGGTGGCCCGAATAGGCGCCCGCAGAAGTGGAGCAAGCCACTGCCGGCCAGTCGTTTGCGAGTCCGCTGGCCGGGCTGGCGAGGGCTCGAAACAAGGCGCTAGAACAGCAGCGTCTGTCGGCGTGAGCTGTTTGGGGCTCGAGTGGCTGTCGTGACTTGTCGTTGCGGATGTTGTCGTTTGCTCCACGGCTTGCGCTCATGGGCGTGCGCACGGTGGGCGGCCGGGACGAGGGGCAGACCCCACGCCCTGTTGTTGGCGTTGGCGGCCAGCGCAGAATGATGAGCGTCTTGTCGAGCGCAAGGGAAACACAACCTCTGGGTGTCGGTCGGTGGCAGAGGAGGTGCTCGAAGCACGGCAGAGATGCGCGTCGCCGCCATTTTGTCCTGTCGCCGCATGGCAACCGCATCGAGGGCCTGGCTTGTGGCGCCGCTATGCCCTGTTTTCTGCGCTTTGCAGCACACAACACGTCATACCATCGTCGTCCATGTCGAACCCTTCTGCTTCAACCCCCAGCATGTTCCTCGTGACCTGCTCGAACTGACACTCGGTGCACAGCTGATGCTCCGCCGATGCTCGAAATAGCCCCCGACATTATTCGAGAAGCAGGTGCCTGCGTTGCCCGAGTGAAGGCCGCAAATACACGACCATGGCTTCGCATCCACACACTCCCTGTTCATGCGTGGCTGCGGCGTAGCGCTCTTGTGGGGAAGGTGCGGTCCCGTGCGCGGCCATCGATCGCTCTTGCCCAATCAACGTCTTGGCGACTACAGAGCCTCAAACATGGCGTTGCTCTGCTTCTAACCTCATCTCTCCTGTCTTGTATACGCTCTTGGCCAGCGCCATGTCTATCGTTGTAGAACAAATCTCGTTCGCTTTCTAGGATATATCTATCTGTCTGCCTGCCTGTCTGTCTCCATGGCTGATAGCTTCCTTCTCGCACTATTTACCAGAAAACAGTTCAACTTTGGTAGTTAGAACACCAGATGATGTTGTTTTCGTTGTCGGTGCACCTGCATCGAGTGCAAACGCCCATTAGTCGCAATAAGATTGCTGCGCTCTGGAGTCACGGGCAATGATGCCTAGTCCTCTATCAAGCCGAACCCGAACTGTACTTTTCTTTCAGACAACTACCATCTACATGTCACACAGCTTTATTAACATGCAATACCTCTCAGAAGCATCTGGAAAATAAAAAAAATTGATTTAGCGGCTTCGTACGCTGAGGTGTCATAGGTCGTATATTGGTTACTAATGCTTTCTTACGTTAACAATCGAAACTACCATCTTAAGTCACATTCACCTCTTCTTCCATACGATCAAAAAAAAACCTCTCCTGGCTACATTAAAATTCACTAGTCTTGCAAAGTCCTCAGTGCCGCAACCGAATACTATTTCGATTCAACAATCCTGATGAATGAGACTTGGGATGTCCGGATGAGAAACTACGGGAGTCCTCTCAAAGAAAAAAGGGACCCAACGATAATAGGAAGTCACAAATTAAGCTCTAGTGTAGAACCCTGATACTAACCCGGCACTTGTGGAAATGAAGTCGCACTTGGCGTCACTCATACTATTCAAC